GAGGAAAATGGCACCATGAGTGTAGCAGATGTGGTGGACATGACAAACTTGGCCGCATCAGCTGTGCTGCTGGTAAGGCGAAATGCCATTGTTGTGGGAAGAAAGGGCTCTATAAAAACAATGTGCCGATCAAACACGCCCAGAAATGTACAAGTAGCTGCTCCGACGATTTAGGTGTGGTCTTCAAAGCGGTTGATAAGTTCTTGCTTGGATACACAAAGCCTGCGTTGTCAAAATGGTTTGTTAAGTATTAAGCAGCGTCAGCACTGGATTAAGCTTTACTTACACAAAGGCAGCCTGCACACTGTGGACAAAAGTTTTTGCTGATAATCTTTCGAGCAACATAGCCTCCGACAAAGTATATCAACGCAATGTTACTCTTCTTTTTCGGTGTACGATTGATGGTCACTAGACAAAAGTGACTGAACGATATCCTCTGCATCATTGATGCTTCTACGGTCAAGAAAGCCATCTGTTCCCACCCCAAGGTTCGTTTTTCAGGAGAACTCATTTGGGCTGAGCAATGCTTTAATGACATCTGGGACGCAGTCGCCTTCTCTGGGTGGCTTTGCAAGGTTGTAGATTGATTGATTGATATGTGGGGTTTAACTTCCCAAAACCACCATGATTATGAGAGATGCCGTAGTGGAGGGCTTTGGAAATTTAGACCACCTGGGGTTCTTTAACGTGCACCCAAATCTGAGCACACGGGCCTACAACATTTCCGCCTCCATTGGAAATGCAGTTGCAAGGTTGTAGAACGCTAGGAAATTTACAGTCACGAGAAACTGTTGGGTGATCATTGCTTCCTGGTAATTGTCTGATTATGCCAAACAGGTTCTATAACTTATCCTTGCCTAAGCAGCCGTTAAAAGATCGTTGAAGCCAAGTGCTCAGTCCAGAAGCTGTGCTTTTTGTAAGAAAAGCGGCACCAGCTGGTTTTGCATGATGGTCCCACGGCCGGTTTGGCATAACGCTCCCATTAACAATGTTTTCAGTGTTTGTAGGTAAAAAACCATGCAAACAGCTTTAATCTCAGATGCGCCCCCTCGACCACTTGCTACTACTGTCCAAAGATCGTGTGAATTTCTCCATCTCCATCGAAATTAATCTCCATCAAAATTTCTAACTCAATTTTTTATTGTCAAATTTTTAGTGTCAACGGAGGTGTCCGGGAAAGTTGTCACAGAGAACAGCCTCTGCTTCGAGCTCTGTGAGTTTCCTTATTCTTTTGCCAAGGTTTTTCAATAATCGACACACCTCGAAGGGGCGTTCCACCTTAGAATGGGGGATCAAAACTCCATCCATCAACCGGGACCGAGCCGACCACATCATAGTGCGTCTGACGCAAGTTCTCACCCCGGCCCAAGCGTGGCCCACGTTGATGATTCTGATGACTCCTCCGTTGAAGATATGGCTTCGGACAGCGACTACGTGGTCGTACCAAGCCGACGCCTGAAGAAGAAAATTAGCCGGACATCGCCCACTAGCCGGCAAGCACAGACAAAGGCGAGTAGCATGCGGTCGTACACCATTTCGTATGTGCAGACATCGAAGACAGACATCTTGAACTCTCTAAATAGGCAGAGCTTGTGAGTACTTTGAGCTCATCGCTCCAGGGAAAGTCGTAGAAATACGCATAAATACCCGAAAGAACATACTGTCTGTGGAGGTCACTACGAAGGCCTTATTGGACACGCTGAAAGCGATTGTTCGATTAGGAAACATTCCGGTTCACGCATTGTCCGCGTACGGCGAAGAAACGACAACAGGAGTTATCTACAATGTGGATGAGGTGATAACAGACTCGATTGTTTCAAACATTTGTTTACTAGCAAAGTATTTTTCCTTGAAGGTCTGAGGTGCTTATTTTTTATCTTTACACTGTTAGAATTACTATATAAACAAACAAATGTTTAAAGAGTAGAGGGAAAGCAGCAGATATTTTATGGTATAGAACTGCAAAAAGCATGAATTAACCGAATGATGAAGCTTGAATTGACAGGCTTTTAAGTACATTAAAAGAATCGAGGGCCAACCAAAAATTTTAATCTTGTTTGAATTAACTGAAGATATGAATGATCAAAGTTTGAATTATCATGAGTGTACGGTATACAAGCTGGGATACATCTCAATACAGATGACACAACATAAATGACACGACATAGATATGCCATGACATATGTGTATTGTTTTTACGCTTAAAAACAAGAGTGGTTGCCCAACTGCTGATTAGCATAGTGTTATGGTGTTCGGTGTATCAGTGCCGATAGTAGACTGGCATAAGAATTCATTAATAAAATAACTGTTGGGTTTGAACGTCCCAAAACCACGATATGAGGGATGCCACAGTGAAAGGCTCCGGAAAGTTAGATCTTTAATATGCACTTAAATAGAAGTAAATGGGCCTCCAGCGATTTCATCTCCAACGAAAATGCAGCTTCTGCGACCTGCATTCAATCCCGTGACTTTCAGGTCAGCAGTAAAACACCATAACCACTGGACCATAGCGGCGGGCCATAACCTTCTCTCTAGGCATCAAGGTATAGTGGACGCACATGGTAAGCTCTTGTGATGCACTCTACTCCACTTACATAAAGGCATGCAGTGCAGGCAAAGCACAGCTACGCGATCTGCCACAGAGACGCAGTGTGCATCCATAGAGTGGCATAGCCAACTTGCCCCCCCTGCTTCACACAACATCGATTCCTATGGTGCATGGCTCCTAAAACACCAACAGCTACTCTAAACTAGCATTTTTTTTCTCCTCCGAAAGCAATCCTGTGCACATTTTCACATTTTACCACATGAACCTACATGTCTAGATGACAAAAAAGAAACAGCCAAATGAGCTATATGCTTCATAAGTCAGTTCTTGTCGCACAAATGAGATCAGAGCCGACAATGCTGCTCACTAGTAGCACACTAAGCTGACAGTACACCGATTAGATTATTCTGTTTTTTAAATACGAAGCATTCCTTAGCGAATTTTGGCGACTTTGAACGTATCTATCTATCTGTCTAGCCGCCTACGACTTTTAGCTCTCCTGGCTGTTTCGATAACGGTATCGATACCGAACTTGTTATGGCATAACATGGCTGTATGAAGAAACTATTCGACTAGTAATTACATGAAAATCATGACATGGACATCATGAATGTAATGATTTACATTTCATAGTCCTTCTGCTCTTGCGGTGGTTTCGTTCACATGACACGTTGCAAAACTGGTATGGTATGACACGATTGTGTGGCAAACACAAACGACAGACCCTAACATGAAAATCATGACATGCGTGTCATGTAACAACATGACTACATACCAAGATCATGATGCGCTCGCGGCTGTTTCGGTAGCGTCACATATACCAAATGTGGCATTACGGTACGTGACCGGATCATGAAGCTATGTGACTGGTATAAACATAATAAACATGAGATGCGTGTCATGTAACAACATAACTACATGCTACGTTCATGATGCGTTCGCGGCCGTTTCGCTAGCTTCACATGTACCAAACTCGGTACTATACGTGACGCGAACGGACGACATAGGTAAATGACATAAACAATCATAATAATCGCGACATGCGTGTCATGTAACAACATGACTAAATGCCACAGTCATGATGCGCTCGCAACCGTTTCGCTAGCTCCACACATGCCAAATTTCGTATTACATGACATCAATGGATGACAAAGGTATAAGACTGGTGCAAACATGATAATCATGAGATGTGTGTCTTGTGAGAACATTATTACATGCCACAGTCAAGGCGCCAATACATTTCGACGTGACGTGATGCACGTACTCGCCGGCGTTCACTTCGACGTGTCACACTGGCGTTGCGACGCTAGGCGCCGGTCCTGCCATATACTCGCAGGCGCACGCCGCTCTGCGTAGCTTTGGCGCATGCGCGTTTCAGCGTGTCTGGCGTCTCTCCGTCCCGAAAAGAGGGAGACGCAGTGTTGTCTGGGTAATGCATCGGCGCAAAATGCAGCATGTGGCATTTTGCACCGGTTGCCGACGGACACTGGTCGCGCCTGGCGTCAGACTATAGAGTGCTGGCGTTTTGCTAACATAGCGTCGCTGTGCCCAGTGTGCGCTCGCGTCAACGCTATATTGGAGTATACTGGGCCCTTCATGATGCGCTCGCGGCCATTTTATTAGCTTCACATATACAAAGTTTGGTGTTACTTGACGTCAATGAATGACAAAATGTATGACTGGTGCAAACATAATAATCCTGACACGCATGTCATGTAAAAACATGACAACATACCACACTCATAGTGTGCTCGCGGCCGTTGCACTAGCTCCACATATACTAAATTTGGTATCACGTGACGTGAATAGATGATGAAGGTAAATGACACATCCAAACATAATCATGACACGGAAGTCATGTACGGCATCATTTACCTCTCCGTCGTGACATTGTACTGATTTTAAAGCGACATACTTCTCTCATTTGGGCTTCGCATATCATTGATTCCCACTGTACGTGGGATCTGCCAATTTTTTTAGGACTTATGAGTCGGTCAAACAGAAGTTTGTCGTTCTCAGTGTCATTTCAGAGCAGGTGTGGAGCAATTACTAATAAAAATTACTGTTTGGAGCAGCATGGAACAGCATTTCTCTCATGGAGCAGTTTGGAGCAATAGGAGTCGCATTTCCATCACTGATGGAATGCGCCGTAATGTTAAAGTGTGAGGCACCTACATGGAGGATCAGGAGGGCCATTGTAGTCAGGGACTCTGGATATTTTTCAACAATGTGGAGCTCCTTATTTCCTAAATATTATTATACATTGCTCTATAAAAGTTCACCCATTAGAGCTAGAAAGCCAATTCTTAATCTTGTTCTATGGCTACCGAAATCAGGCAGCACACATGCATCCTGTGAACTTTGAAATCCCAATTATTAGACATATAATGACCGAGCTACCAGGGCAGCTCACCACAGCCTCGGGCTAACTGGAAGAAAGACAACCACATTACAGCAAAAGCCTGCTTTTTACAACTAGTAACAAGCAATGCCCCAGTGGCATGAAAAAAGAAATTTGGACAGCTCCTCACACTACACTCTTTCAGCAGCATCAATTATACAACTCTTTTACTACGCCTCTAGGGTTATACAAAACTTCCAACTGTACATACATTTGTCAAGCACATCACTAATACAAGTTATTTAAACTTCATCCCTATACAGTGATGTCTTACAGCAACCTCGGCTTCCTTTTACAACATTCATCTAGCATTGTGACTGGTGAGATGAGTGACTGATGTAGCACTCATTTTATATATAAGCAAATTGTGAGGCAATGAAGTTGAACTGGAGCCCATGGCTAAGTGATCACGGGTGCTTGCATGTATTCTGGCCAAGAGAATGCATCCGTAATTGGAGTTTCACTTGTTCTGCACTACAGTAAACGCAACAAGTGCAACTCATCCCCTTCTATGGTTAAAGTGGCTATTGGTGAGGCAAGAGGTGATCACATATTGTGACAACACTGCTTATGCCCAATCAATTACAGCTCGCTCTATATTCTTTTTTTTCTATTGATATCAGCTCCTCCACAGAAAGAACTACTGCCCCCAAAATTCTAGCAGAACAAGCTACACTGTACAAACTTTAAAAAACAGCAAAAATAAAAGTGCCACCATGGTTTGCAAAACAACTTTTTACTTTACCAAGTAAATGATGTGAGCAGCCACCTCTTAAAGCACAAACGTATGCTAGCCCAGTCTAGAATAGCATATTATCAGATGATCTGTGCATTAACACTTTGCTAGGCATAAATAGAGAGGTGTTTATTTGCACAGCCAGGCTATCGTAAACAAAGGCAATGTGGCACACAGAAGTTGTTTTTGAAAACACTCTTTTTCACTACAAAAACAACAATATTCCACACTTACACTAGCAGAGTATCTCAAGTGTCCAAAAGTCTCACATTAAGCTTCTGCCATACGTATATAATGCAGAAATTAAGCAATAAATTGTTTTGATGATTAGTATTTTGCAGCAACCTCTATGAACAGCACAAGTAGAAGCGTCTCAAGGATGGTGTAAACGCACTTCGAAAGACCAAATGCTGATATCACTGTTATGCATAAAGAAAACACCTAAAGTTAGACACTGTTTATGCTTTAAGAAAAGCCAGTCACATCCAACAAAGAAATAATTAGGCATGCATAGAAGAACACAAGTGAAGAGAAAAGGATAATACAAATGGGAATCGTATTATCTGCTTCCTTTCACTTATGTCACTGCCTGCAGAACCACCTTTTTTTCCCACCACTTAGCCCAACTTTGCATTGCTTTAAGCCACAATGCATGCTTTTGGGATATATTTTGATGTCTAATGAACTAAACGAACTAAACTACCAAACTGCTTGAAACAAAGAAACGCACCAGAGGCAATCTTCCGACCACTTCCTCTGTGATGCCAAAGCACACAAAGAGCAATATGATAAAAAACTTAATTACTAACAACTCATAAAACAGTCAATAAACCACTACTAAGACCTGGCTGTTTGTTAAACGAAAGTCAATAAATACAAAGCAACAAGCATGTCATAAGAAAAACATTTACAACAAGAAGGTACACACTCTGAACAAAACAAACTTCATTTTTTGTTCACCATGAAAATCGCTACTTTATACTTCACAAAAAAATGCACTTTAGGCAAACCCACAAAGACACAAACTTTATTTCTCTTATGACAAGAAAAGCCAATCAGAGGTGGAAAGCTGGTAAAGTATGATTGACAATCATTCAGCCAACTTGACAAACCTCAGTACACCTTTGCAATACAAGATCTCAGTGTCGCTCAGTTAACTATACCCGGTCAAATGAAATAAGCCAAGAATGTTGAATAATGCAACAAACATGTCATCTGTGCAGCCACCTCCCAATGAAGTCTGCTGAATCACTGAATTTGCAAGCCATCATGCACACACCTGTGTTTCTCACCTGGGCCTTACTGCCCTCAAAATGCTTACAAATTGACAGCACCAACTAAAACGAGCAAGCCACTATCTCTTGCATCACACCGTATAAATGAAACAAGAATTCAAAATAGCTCAGTGCTTTACATGATGTGAATTTCTATATGCAGGGAATTTCGATATAAGCCTGAACCAGCACGCTCAGCAATCATTTCAGATTTTGACACAGATTTCGCAACCTACAGATCTTGAACCTCAACATATCTTTTAATACAGTTCCTTTTCTGTAAAAGGATTACGCCTACTTGTAGAAGAATGAGGTGCATTTGGCCAACAGTGGTCTTTTAGTGAATTGCCTGATGTTTAAATGCTTATAATCTATCACACACGCACAAAAAAACTTTCCACAACCAGTTCACATAAATATTAATAAAACAAAAAAAGGCAAAATCTTCATCCTTCATCATTTAATCTTATAAAAACAACACCGAACAAAAGAAAAGTATTAAATGTGGCTAATATGCTCGAGTTAAAGCTACAACAGAATTGGTATGCTAGGCAAGCTGGTAATATTACATAATTGAAACCAAAGTGTAAACCTGTACTGAACGAAAAAGATAACTACAGCGCAGTTTATGGTGACATTAAAACTATTATTATTAAAAAATATACACAGAGAGAAGAAAATTCAAATAAATCACTAACTAGGAGTACTGAAAAAGCTTTCAGTGATTACCAATAGAGATAATCCAATACTAGCACAAAGAATTAAAACACAACACAAAAGTCCTCTCTGTACTTGAAACATCTTGGTGTGGGTAAAATTTAAACGGCACAGCCGAGTATGCTTTTAAATGACCCTTTTATGTTTATAATGGGTTTATAATGCTTTTTCTCTCAGTGTGTGCGACACACCAAATATTCTGGGATGATCTGCTACCAGGTATCTGCACACAATAAATAAGCTAAAACTGCTACATTTGCAGCAACTAGACAAAATAAGGCAAAAATCTTGATTTGAAACTTGCCCAATATGAAAAAATTACTTTTTCACTTGAAAAAAAAAAAAATCTTCAGTTAGAAGCAATCGTTGCGAAGCTCACTTAAAGTAAAACTTTGAGACAAGGATTTTGCATAAGATAAAAAAATTTGTAAAGTATAATTTAAAAAAAATTACAACTCAAGAACTGAACCATCCATATTAAACTTACGTGTCGAAATCGCACAATATACTAATATAACCTTATAACATCTGACAAAATTTTAGGCAAAGCCTACTTCTGTAAAAATAAAATGAGAAACACTTGAGATGCCTATCTTTTAAGCATTTGTGTATATATGTAATAAATGTCATAGTAATTAAATAAAAAAATTCACCAAGATGGCCCTCAGCGACTTCGGGTATGTTTTCTTTTTCTTTTGAATGTGGGCAATATTTTCGGCGGCAAAACTTATTTCCAAACTGTGAATTAGGTAGAAGATCAGCAACACAGCTAAGTTTAATCAAACTATCTGAACTCGAGTGGGCACAGTTGTAACACTAAACTTGCAGGAACCTGTAGGGTACTAGTGCATTATTTTTTCGTAATATCTAGAAATGGCCTAATAATAAAAACATTCCCCCCCCTTTTTATTTTCCATAATTCCACTATAATGTTTTTCACTTTTGCAGAAGTACTAAGGCAACATCCAAAGGTTCACAAAGTATGTTCATCCACTTCAATGCACTCATGAAGAACACACCGAAAATGACTAGATGCAGCATATGAAAACACTGCATCTAATATGCTTTTATACGCTGCATCTAAAGATGCAGCATATGAAAATAGCAAACAAGCAGCATATGACGTTGTCCAGCTCCCATATCTGTACAATTATATGAAAGTTGAGGTGCGTGAGCTGCTGAGCTACAGGTGGAGAAAAGACCACTTGCATGAGTCAACAAATGAGAACTTAAACACCTATGTTACACCACAGGTTACCACACACATACCAGAGTAAGTTTTTGGTTGAGTTCAATTTCCCATGTTAGCCTCACAGATTCTTCCAAATTCAACCTTGCCTCTTTTCCATCTGAGCATAAATGCAAACGTGATCCGGAAGCTGGAGATCAACCCTAAATAATTGAAAAATTTATTCTAGGCTATGGTAGAGAACTCCTTCAAGACATTTTCCTGGCCCAAACCTGACCGTGTAAGCTTCTGCCTGAAGTCCGAGACCACATTTCGAATCTGGGGGGAGGGAGAAACAAATAAGATACTGGTAACCAAAATTTACTTACATTGCCAACTTCATGAAGCCAATATATCATTTTTATGTTCGGTATAATAGCAATTTTACATGCTCCCAAAAGAGAGTACCGGTAAATATCGTCTTGGCGTCATAAGCTAAATGTATTTATGAAAAGATTACCCCATGAAACTCAAGCATGGGTGAAAAAGTACTGACACACATGGGCAAAATTGTATGAAAATAAAACATTCTAGAGAGAAAATTCACCCTACAAGCAGCCTCCATTGCACCATACCACTAACACATGGGTATAAACTTCATCTCGACTCACCGACATTAGGAGCCCATTTCATTTAAAATAGTACAACCACTCAAAATGATAAGGTCATTGTATAATACACCTGTCAACATGTGAAGTTTAAAATTAGTATTGATGTCTGTGAACACCACACCAAAAAAAAAAGTGGGGGGGGGGGGGGTCAGGCTAGCAGAAACTTTTAAGTGTCTGAAAAAAAAAAAAATTTTATAGGACACAGTTAATTACCAAGTATTTACCTTTAGACATGACACCCAGACGCAAGCTTCGAGTGGCAGAAATTAACAAATAACACAGTGCTTTAATCATGATAACATCTTCAGTGACTTAGCTGCTGCCGATTTCAAGTCCTGTTTTTGCCTAAAATTACTAGCTGATATTCACTAGATAATATAACCTGAGTAAACATGCTCAATTCACACCACTCAGGTAACGTTTCACAATTATACTAACCAGAAGAATGAGCTCTTGCAAAAACAAAATATATATTTTGTGATACTCGACAGAGCATTAATAGCATTGAAGAATGAGTCTAGATACAATAACTTTCTGGAATGTTCTGGGGGAGTACGCACTTTTTATTGTAATCAGGCCGATCCGGGTTAGGCTCCATCCAGATTAGATGCCATCATATGGTCTATTTAATGCGACAAAGAATAGATACGAAGAATAGAGCGAAAAACTTTAAAACTCACCATGAGGGTGAAGAATGGAGACTCTTTTGGTTTTTCAGAGTACTTCTCGTACTGATCCAGATTGTCATGAAGCTTTAGTGTCAATGTATCATAGTTGCTCCTCACGACATCTAACACCTGGAATATGGCAAAATATTGCATAAATAGGATCAGCTCACTAAAAAGGCAAACAAGTCGCAAAAATTTGATTGTGCTGTAAATAATTATTCACTGGCCTTCTTGCCTTGATACTCCTGATCCTTCTTTATATTTATTGCTGGTTCTAACAATAAGAAGAGCAATGCTTTATACAATGAAATGAAGGAATACCTGAAAAAAACAACAAGGTCAAACTACACAGCCAGAAGACCAGATAGGTCTGTCTGAAAGGGACACTACAGAGAAACAATAAATTTCACGTATTAGTAAAGTACAATTTTACAATCCCGAAAACATCACTCTTATCGTAATACAACGCTTTGCAAGCGAGAAAACATGCAAAAGGAAAATGCAAGTAGATAGCCACCTTGAGATTCACACACCAAACACTGTGACATCATAGATTTTGAAGGCATCTACTGGGTCCCAAGCAGCTTCTAATCAATAAAAAAAATTAAGTACATTGTAATCTGTGGGTGCCACACACCCAGCATATGATGTTTCAAAAAATTCCATCAAGCCAATGTCAAAAGAAGAAAAGTTTTGAAATTTTCGATGTCACACATGGAGATTTCAGCACAAAATAAAAAAATAAAACTTCAACCTTGATTTTCTCTATTAATAATGAACTGATGATAGTGAAAGCTATGTATGGCATTAGAGTTCTCAGAGTGCAGTTTATCAATCTAAATCAAGTCATTGTTTCTCTTTAATGTCCCTTAAACACACACAAACAGAGTGCACGCTAAATGAGAATGCAGAATTGAAATACAGGTGCCAATGCTATATTTAGATTCCCATACAAGATCCAGTGGCATCTTAAATTTTGAGAGCTTCTGCTCCAGGCTTGTAAAGCATTCCTCAGTGAGAAATACTTTACATGGGGGATCACATCACTTTTATAATACACAGCATGCTTGTAATTATTGGTAATTTTTCGAGCATAAAAACTGGTAAAATTCTAAAAATTGCAATAACATCAACCGTCACATCAATCTGTGTCCCTCGTGTGACGACAGTTGAGGTGAAAATTTCGAATTGGGAACTATACCCTGCAACTATAGCTTCTTATGCAAAACAATCGCACTTTAAAGTAGAACATTACCAGCTTAATCTTGTTTATTACTTCCCTTTATTGCCCCTTTAAAAGTACTGTTAACATACAGAGCTCTCAAAATATGGCAGAAGGGTGCTGTGATGGGCCGATTGATAGCTTATTAGAATGAAGTCAAACAATACTTAAGACAGGGAAAAGATAAACAGGCCAGCACCATGTCTGTCATCTTTATTCATCCTCTCTCAAGGTACTATATTAGTGGATATAAAAATAAAGTGTGAGACATGGCCATAAGACACATAACTGTGCAGATTATTACTGAAAGCATTTACTATAATGATGCCAGTGTGTTTGACAATTTTGTCAGATGGTAGAGCTAGCTCAGCTCAGGTAACCAGGGGCAGAATGGTTTCCTTTTATCTGAGATAGCATATATGCTTTCAAGTGGCAAAGTGCCCCGACAGTAACATGAGAAAGGGCAGTGTTACATATAAAAGAATGAAACCTACAGCCTTTTTTTAGCCTATTAGTAGTGTGCGTGTTTGAGAGTGTGTGGGTGCGTGCACGTACGCATTCAGTACTACGAGCGAATGGCTCCAGCGAATATGGCTAAAGCAGAAGCCCTGCACCCGGCCATGTCGTAGCCTCAGTTGCATATACCACACAAAGACACCTAGACAGATATACTAGAGTGCTGAGCTCATTTTGTGTGCTGCTTGCATGTGCAGACTTTCAACCCACTATTTCATAGCCTACACAGGGGTTCTCAACATCCTCTACTGAAATTGTCCATAGATGCACCTAGTAACTGTAGTCATGCTAGAGAGCACCATCCCACACTTGCTGACACAGAATTTCACATCATAACATAGAAACCAACCAGCCAAGCACAACTAAAACTCAATATAATGAAGTCAGTAAAATGCCAGTTAAGTCCGAGAAGCGACAGCCACGTTTATGGTTTGACGCTGCACCAATGAAGTCGTCTTCACGCAGAAAGAAGAACCGGGAATCGTGTAAGCAAGCGAAACTGCCTCACTAATTCTCCTGCAGCAGCCTGCCAACATGCAGTGAAATTGGAAGTACAACAGCTTCCAATTACGTGCAAAATGGGGATGGGACACTTTCCAGAAGAAGGTGCAGAATTTAAATGGCATCAGCAAGGTCTTCCCGGAAGGGAAGGGGCGGCATGGACTTCTTCAGAAGCCCTGTGGCTCTCATTAATGGCATGGTGCATTACAATGATTCAAAACCACAAGAAAAACAAAGAAAACACAGTCAGACTGTGGGAAGCATGGCATGGAGATACCTCAGATGATGAGCCAACTCGAACAAACGCTATCTGACAACGCTTCAGGCGTTGTTCGATAGAAACAACGCTTCAAGCGTTGTTTGTTAGAAGCACTGTTCGAACGAACAACGTTTCTAACAAACGCTATCACGGCGTTCTCGATACAATTCGACTATTCGAGAAACCCTCGCGCCGAGGGATATAAATTCCCGTACAGCCGATGCCGCGTCATTCGATCGCCGACGCTCACTAGCGTGCCCGTCGTTTTGCTGGCCGCTGCTTCACCGCCTGTGTATTTTTTCAGTTGTTAGGGGAGCACAGGTTCGCTCCAATAAACTTGTTTTCCTTATAGACAACTGCGTCGTCCTTTGCTGCGTGACAATATATACACACTAGTGATGCTTTGGGAACATATGAAGAATGCCACATCACACTCTCGCCAGAGCTTGAGCTCTTCGCCTGTAGTATGTGTACAAAACACAGAATATAGCGACAGAACACAATTTTTGACCAGACCTGTTTTTCTGTCAATGCTGACATGTGGTTAGCTGCAGACCAAGAATCAATCTTTGGAGTGAAGTGGTTCACGATTGCCCTGCAAAGATACACAAGAAAAGTGATGTGTTGAGATGAACAGTCAAGAGGGTGAAAAAACGTGAGAAAATGCTGGAGAAACTGGCACTCATTGACAATCATACACATTCTTTGCCAAACAGTTTTCTTATAATATTGCTCTACAGAGGAGGAAAAGATACAGGTCACTAAAAGTAAATATATACAGTTAACCAAAATATAGAAAAGTTATATTACAGTTGTCTACTAACCTAACTAAACCAGAAGTTTTGTGAAATGGAGGACGGTAATCTTTGTCACCGAAGATTTTTAAAGCAGGTAAATGCGATATCCTCATTATGCATCCCACATTTTCAAGGTAACCCACACTTCTGACAGATTGTTCAATGCACAGTGAACCCTTTTAGAACAAACCGATTTCCCAACCATGCATTCTTGGCCTCACGTCGATTTATGGTAGCATCAACGTCCTCATCTTTCGAGCTTGATAGACACAGGCGTCGCTCCTTGTCTGTGCTGTTCACTGCATTGCTTGACAACTGAGGGTCTATAGTGACATCACTTTTGGCGATTGCCGAACGACTTGGTGGAGGTATGTTTGGTGCTCTCGCTTTTCGTAAGCGAGCGGAGTCTTGCCTTTCTTCTCAAATGTGAAATCTGAGTCGCAACAGAATGCGCACAAGTCCTCCGAAAAGCCTTTTTGACATGGATAGCCGCGCCAGGCACGTGTTCGGCAGAATGTGCAGAACACGTCAATCGCGCAACAATTGGCAGACTGCATCAAATGATTATCGTCTTGTAAAGATGGTTTGAACAACAGTGCCGAAAAAAAAAATCACGGGAGATGAAGAAGCAGGCGAAGAGCGTTTGCAACATAGATGTCACAGATAGCAAGACACACGATTGCCAATGGTAATGCTGACAGCCGAACACGTGCGCGCAGGCAGGATGCCAATAGCAGCCACTTGCTTCCTGTCCTCAAGGAGCATGCACTTCATCCAAGCGTAGCTCCGCATTTGAAAAACGGGACTTTCGAACACCCTGTGAGCTCCCCAATCACAAGCAAGTTATGCCTCAGCCATGGCGTCAGGCCTCACACTGATGGCAAGAAAAAAAAAAGAATGAGAATTGAGGAACAATACCAGACCAATATGGTGGCATTCGGGTACCTGGCGGTAAAGTGTTCCAGAAGAAGGTAGTGGGCTCACTCTTCGGGGAGAGGGTACGTTGCCGCGGTGCAAAAAATGTAAACAAGTTTTCACTTTCCAAAGTACCCGCATGGCGGCGCTACTATCGTTCGCAATAAGAGCCTTCGCCTTTGCTTTGTCCCGCTGCTGTAGTGCAGCTGCAGTGTTTGGTCACCACTGTAGGTTTTCGGCCGAGCATTGCTTTGTCAGTACGTTTCATTGTTCAGTTCTTATAGTAGTGAATAATGTAGTTTTGTAGTAAACATCCTGCGGTCATTGACTCTTCGTGCCGAATGGCACCACATCGCCAGAACCATTGAATCATGCAAGATGGGCTACGTTCACATGAAAAATGCTCCAAAACCGTCACTGTTCTTCATGCCCAGGGATGAGAGGTTCAGAAGACTGTGGGAGAATAATTTACACCGTGTAAGTAAGCCACTCGAAAACCCAAGTGCAGTCTGTGAACTTCATTTCGAGCCTCGGTAAATTATTCGCAATTATGTACACACCATCGGCAGGAAAAAGTGCAAATCCCATGGGGGAGACCTAATGTTGAGCAGTGACACTATTCCCACTATTTTGTCAAACTTGCCATTATACCTCACCAAAAAAGCTGTGAAAAAAAAGTCACCTCAAAAAAGAAGTCTGAGAGTCGTGCTTTGACGCTGTTCCCACTATTTTGTCAAACTTGCCATCATATCACACCAAAAAAGCTGTGAAAAAAAAGTCTCCTCAAAAAAGAAGTCTGAGAGTCGTGCTTTGCCAGTGAAGCGCCAGCTGTGCACGAGTGGTAACACGACAGTGTTGCACACAACGCCGTACTAAGTACTCCAGATTCAGACTCTGCAGCATCGAGGCCAGAAGACTAACAGCTGGCCATCGATGTAGAGGTTTCTTCTCCAGAAAATTCACAGGAAGACCACAAGTCTATGTCCATAGTTAGCTGTCTTGAGGTACCATCACTGCACTGAACTAAGCACAGCTTTCCAGATCACAAAGGCATTGTGTACTGCACATTCGTTCGGACACTGAAGAATGAAGTAAAGTAAAATCTCGATGATATGAATTCGAAGGAAGCACGCGAAATATTTGTATTATCCCGAATTCGTATGAACCAAAACATGTTAAAGCTGACCATGAAGATGTACAATAACTTTGTTGGGGTCATCTACTTTTTGCTGAAAAAAGTCCATGATGTTTTTTTGAACTTTCCTGCTTTCCCCGCCTCTCAATAAAGTGCCGCAGTTTCCTCACTCATGCTGCTGGCATTATAAAACGTGTTCTCACTCGCTTTGCTGCTAGAGTGGATGGAAAAATGTGCCACGAAGTCGATACGAAAAAATCAGTCCAAGAGAATTCACACTCGAGAATTCAAGCGAAAACGCCAAAAGCAGCCGCAAAAGCACGTCCACGCCAGTCGAAGATGCTCACATTCGTTCTGCCCCTTGTATACATGCGACCGCCGCCGTCTTCGGCGCTTGAGAATTTATTCCTGTGCATTACAATACCTACAGAGTTCTAGTTATGCACAAAGCACTGGAAAAAAAAGAACTGTGTACACCTTTTCAAATGTTGTTTCGGGAGATACGTCAGAAGAAATGACACGAGCAAACGCAGTGGCGGCGGATTCAGCCAGCAGTGCAAAAAAGAGAGACATGTTAGGGCATGCCGACTCGCAGCTGCTGCACCTTCTTCTACTTCCGGTGTTCGCAGTGATCGTAATCCATACCAGGCTCTCGACGAACGCGTCTTTTTCAAGGTCGTGAGCTTTGTCGTGCAGCACGGGTAGTTCGCGATTGCACCGACGCAAGCCACTGCCTTCGCCGACGCAATGGCTGCCATTTTGAATGTACGGCTGGTTGCATGGCTGTTTACATGACGTAGTTTGAGAGCTAGCACAAACGGTGTAGCCAAAGCTGTAGCGAAAGGCGTTCCGCTATCGCGTGGTGGCAAAATTGCTTTTCCATGATTTTTTCATGTCGGCCTTGCGGCGTGGTTTACCGGCCACTTTCCCGGCGGAGAAGCGAGAAAAATTCAGGTGAGCTTTGCTGCATTCGGTCCTTTTGAGGCCAAGTGTGAACAGGCCTTCCTCCCACAGACAAGCCGCGTTGCGTCGCTCGCAGGCACCGGTCAACTGCGCGTTCATATGATACACGGTTGCTGGATTAACCGTTCGTATAACACCTAATCACAGCATATTTTATATAATGTAGTTCGTCCGAAGCAACCTTCAAATTCGTATCATCCCGAAATTCGCATCAACCATTATCGTATCATCAAGATTCTTCTGTATGATCGGAAAAAGCGGTCATGTATTTTGAGTCACACAATGCGAGCTACTGCTAAGTGTTCATCAGAGGTACCCTGTTGAAAGAAGGCACCGTGGAAACAGAGGCAGCAGCAGATGAAGTGCTGAAAACAACTGATAGTATGTGCATTTGCTCTGGGGCAATATCTCACAAAGACTATGAGGAACAATTTCTTACGAAGAAGCTAAAGAACCATGTGGTTACACGCAACGAAATGTACTTCAGCCTTAAGTGTCTCGGCAAGGTTGATAAAAAAGGTATTTATAATGTGCATTTTTATTAGTACACACTTGTCGTTATGTAAGATTTCTCGCCAGTTATTATTAGGATAGGTCTTTCCTGCTGGGCACTCCTACATATTTTCTTGCACTTTTCAGGAGAATATATCAGCTGAGAGCACGTAAGGCGCTTAAGTTTCTAGTAATACTTTTTATTTAGCAAGAGAACGACCTCATTAGTTAAAGTTGCTATCGAATACAAATGCTAGCCTGAAAATATTAATCTCTTTTAGCTAAAGGCAATCGATGTCAGTGCCCATTAAACAACCCCAGGTGGTCGAAATTTCTGGAGTTCTCTACTACGGCATGCTTCAAAATTAGAAAGTGGTTTTGGCATGTAAAATATCATAAATAAATTAATTATCTGAAAGCAATAAAAATGCGAGATTTTTTTTTTTTTTCAAGCAACAGCTTGCTACCTACAAAACTGACGGTTTACAGCATATATTACATCCCGCGCACGCTGATAACACCCTTATGTTAAGCGATAGTTCATGCGCCAGAACGACCAAAGCAAGAATATGCTCACGCAAAAGAAAAAAGGCAACGAAAATGGCTATGAACAGGGGTTGCATAAAAGTACTTTGTGTTTGAAGCACCACCACACTAAGCAGGCTGAGGGTAGCAACGTGTCGCTCACATTGCAGGTGGTGGTTGCGCCATCTACACAATGAGACATAAAGTGCATCAGTGCACAGCCTCCAGTCAGCCCACTACCCATTTCTAGAACACTTTTGCTAGATTCACACGACAGACATGATCACGGACTGATCAGTGACGTGGCATGCGACGTGTTCGGGATTCCTCCGCGGCTCGCATTCACACGACAGCGGAGATGGCGAGCACAGATTGGCCCTACTCTCGCTCCCAGAAGCGTAGGCGACGGCGCAGACGGCCACGACAGCTCTGTTGTCGAGGTTGCGCAAAATGGGCGTAGCACGCTAACATCACCTTGCCGCAATGGCTGTTGCTCTCGAAGAGTCAGCAGCAGACGACGACGAGGAGAGCAACTTCTGCAGTGCAAGAAAGCGGTCTCGGTTAAGCCACGGCTTACCGAAAAATCTCCTGGGATGCAGAACCAGCTGTATGAAAAGCTACTCGCCAGCGATCCTGAACAGTACAAGCACTTGCTGCGTCTTGACATCGAGCAATACTGTTGGCGTAATCGTCGCACCTAGGGTCCCACAGAGCAGGAAACTGCTCCACTAGTGACAAAATAAAAAAGAGCGTGGCCTCGTCGTTGAGCCTGGAGCCATACAGCCCTGGCCCTGCGACACTCGCCATAAGTTTGTCCATTTTAAGCTATAGCTGCATACTGCGCACACACTTCAGATTAAAGTAGCGTCACCTTCATATTGCGTGCTCTTTATAGCAAAAGCAACTTGGATTGGACTAGAAAGAACGGCGGTTGGCAGCCGAAAGCGTTTCCCCGCCGGGAGTTTTCTTTCTTTCACCGAAAATCCCAAGTGATCCCAACTGTAATTTCGGTCTCCGCCGTTTCACAAATCGCTGCCCACGGACCGAAGAAGGAGTGCAGGAACGGGCGACGTATGGTAACATAGCAAGCGATCCTCGGGATCAAATTGCAATTTGTCTGTCGCGTGAATCCAGCACAACCAGCAGAGAAGCAGCGTGCCCGCAGTGTTTGGGCATTTTCGGCGATTGCTCGCAGCTCAGGAGCTGCCCTGGCTTGCGAAATGTTTTTTTTTTTCTTTTTAAGAACATTAGGGATGAATTAGGCACTGATATTTACACCAGAGATAGTTTATTACAATTATTACCCAAATGTATGGTTTCCCAAAAACTGACTTGTGATTTTTTGGTTTTTTAAAGCTGAGTCCCCCTAAAAGCATTGACCTGTTCAAAAATATTTCATTTTAGCCGGGTTTGACTGTGACTTCTTGCGCCCAATGAGCTACCCAGGATTTCTGTATTTGCGCTTTCTTTCTACACACTGATAAATTTAACCAGTGGAAGTGCTTCGCTGGTGCCGAATGAACTGCCTGAGCAGATAGATACTCAGTGCCATGGATGCACGAATCCTGCTATGCTCAAAATTTCCATTAGGAAGTATTGTAATCAATGGGACAGTTTAACAGCGAAAGCTGTTATATGATCACAACAAGGGTCGCATGCACCGTAGTGTCCATCGCCGCTACCACCACCGCCGCCAGTGTCTCTAACCAATACCTTGCGAAATGAGAAAAAAAATTAAGACAATAAAAAATGCCAAGGCCACAATGGGATCCGAACCCGGGTCCCCTGCATGCCCGCCGAGTGTTCTCCCAGAGAGCCACGCCGGTGCTTGAAACTCTGTTGCAAGCTGACCCTAGGCAGACTTGATGTAGGGAAAGGAATCGCGTTAAGAGTGATAAAGCATTTTAGAACAGCCTTAGAACAATAAGGCTTCAAACAATGCAAATTGCGTACCGAGTGGGTCGTCGAATGCTCTAACCTATTACTAAAGCTTCTGGTGTAGTTCTTCATCGTCGTCACTGACAGCATGAAAAATTGCACATAATTCCTTAGAAGTGTTAAGAGGGTACCACGCTTCTACAAAGAATGACAAAGGATGGCACAGTGAATGCCTCCCACCTACACAAAAGTTCTGATGATTTATGGCATAGCAGGTACCCTGCAAGTGCACTTATAGCAGTGGCCCAAATAGTGCTTAAAAAAGGCTCTAAAAGGCCGCCTTTCCAGATTTCGCAGTGACTGTGCTGCACATAGGGCGCTGGCCTGGCAGTTTTTTATTACTATAAACATATGATGACGCTCACTTCTATATGTTCTCGCTATATTTGATTTACTAGTACGTACATGTATATTATTTTTGCGAATGTAGCCCACAGGTTGAATGAGCACAGTTCATACAATGGGCAACCTAAGGCCTATGAAATCATCTAAACAAATAAATAATTGATAAATATATAAGCCAGTAGGTGAACAACGCAGAACATCAAAGATTTTATTTTTTTGAAGCCAGCCCATCGCATGGTTCAAAGCTCATAAATATTTTGAAATAAAAGTACTATTTTCAAAACTCTTCATTTATCTTTTTTGTGACCGAAAAAAAGTAAAAAAAACAGGCAAAATGAACGCAAATGTTTTTTCACTCACTTTGTAGATTTTTTTCCAAATAAAACGGTACCATTATTTCAATGAAATATTGTTTCTTTATTTTTCTGATTGCATACAAAGATACCGCAGGCACGGTATCAGAAGTGACAATGCATTGTAAGGCGAGACACAGGTGGAGAAGGAAGAATAAACTATTGAAGAAACATGGAGAAGTGGGACTATTTCACATTGAGAAACACAACTAACTATGGTGGATATAGTAGTATAATTGGTTTCATGTGAGACCAATTTTTGTTGAAGTATAGTTGTCATTGGTTCTGTTGTTAGAAAATCATATGACGACTATAGTCGTCAACCATTCCAAGAAGGTTAAGGGAAGAACCAATGTGATGCCCCAGTGCACAGGCAGAAAGGACAGCTGTTCACTGGAACAGCAATTTTAATTTTCTGTAGCAAATTTCTGCCGCTATTCCTAAATATGTATGCCACTAAGAATCATCGTGAAGCCAAGTACCCCCCCCCCCCCTCACGAACATTACCGGCAAATGGGAAAGGGGGGGGGGGGCTTTCTCAGAATGGCTCCGTGATTCAAGATGGTGGCGGCAAAGTCTTCCCACCAGAAAAAAAGAGAGAACATGGACTTGCAAAAAAGTTTTTTAGTTCTTGTTCATGGCACAGTGCATTACAATGATTAAGAAACACACTACAAGCAAACCAAATGCGATCAGCCCGTGGGAAGCATGGCATAGAAACACCTCTGATGATGAGCCGATGCCAATGCAACAACTCTGGGCCACAGGCACAATATCAGAAGCCCTACTTTACAAGTGAGATCACCCGAGTATGTACTAACTAGCATGTCAAAAACACTATTGTCAAACTGCAAAATCGCCATGGGTGTCATGCACCCAGTTCTGAGTCATTAGGCATAAGAAAATTGCACTTTGACAACCATTTTAGGGTACAGGTGCTTTGAGATCGCATCTGAATGCGGTGTGTGATTACAGTGCAGAGCATGAGGATGGGGGCCTTGCTCAGAATTTTAGAGTGTGTTACTCTCAAGAAGGATAGATTGGGAAAGTCCTAACAATACAACAAAAAAAAAATAGCCATTGTCCCCGCACTTACAGTAAACCTATAAAATAAGAAGGGAAGATCATGCTCACCTGACATTTACCAAGTGATTGGAAAGTTTGGCTGCAGAATCCTTCCACTGGCTGTCTCCAGTTGTATAACGTAGTGCTGGAAATGTTTGCAGATATGTGTTGAGCAGAAGCAATGACAAAATTCATCTACCACCAATCACATCGTCTGATATTTCCTTTCCCATATGGGTTATGCACTTTCAGTATGTCACCTGTTCTATCGTACATGTGTGGTATATGCTTCGAATTATGCACAACTAGGCTTCTGCAAATATTCGGATGCTTCAAATATTTTAAATATTGAACAGTATTTGTATTCGGTTCAATTCGAATTCAAATTAATAGAATTTTGTAAATATTCAGAATGAACAAATAGGTGTACAGTCCACATGTAACACCCCTATAAATGTGGAGTTTAACGTCCCAAAACCACCATATGATTATGAGAGACGCCGTAGTGGAGGGCTACGGAAATTTCGACCACCTGGGGTTCTTTAACGTGCGCCCAAATCTGAGCACACGGGCCTACAACATTTCCACCTCCATCGGAAATGCAGCCGCCGAAGCCGGGATGTGGTTTTACGGCAGTGAAGTGCTAAAAATGAAATCGCCTATTTAAGTGTATCGTATTTACTCGCGTAATGAACCTACCTTTTTTTTTCAGAAAAGTTGACGCCAATTTGGGGGGAGGGTTGATTACGTGGAAGAAAAAGTCACGAAAGTTATAACAACGAAAATTTCGTGTGACAGCTTTGCTTGTTTTGGCCCGAGAAATGCGCGACAAATCTTTTTTGAAGCCGGAAGCTCTTTTTGTTTTCTCCCATAACGAAAGTGCACAAATCGACGTCGAAGTGTCGTCCAGCCGCTCGATTCCCATGCTATACAGCACATGCTGTTTGTAGCCCGCCGTGTAGCTAGCGTACCGGCTGAACACGGTTTGCGCAGCAGGTGTCCCAAAAGAGTTCACAATGACAAACCCGACAACAAAAACGCAGCGTTAGATGGTGGCACACAAATGTTGCGATAGACGTTGCGGTAGACGTTGCGGGTGCACGAGGCCCCGTCGTCGCGGTTGCGTTTTGAGTGGCCTTTGAGATGACGGGCACGCGGTGTGTTTTTATGCCGTGCGGCCACCATTTTGAAGGCCACCAGCTTTGTTTTTGTGCCGCTGTGCTTGCGTGGCACTATCAGCAAAGAGGTTTCTCCTGCATTCGACAGATGGTGCTTTACCACAAAAGGAGCAACTTTCAAATTTTAATTGACGTCATCCGTGCTCACGCTGCTCGCAACTGTTTAGCACGATTGCTAAACTATGTTTTTACTTTTATTGTGTTGTTATTTTGTGATATAATGGCTTGATTTAACATTGTTTCTATCGTCAATGGCACTCGCCATCATACCAAAATAAAATGAACAGATAAATTTTTTAAAACGTTGCTTTTTTTTTTTCAAGGACCAAGGTGGGGGACGGGCTCATTATGCGAGTTAGTTCAATACAAGAGTAAATACGGTATATTAGCCTGAGTAAAACTTCATGTAAAGATGGTTTCACTGCAACAAGGGCGTGGTAAGCCAGGAAAACACCTACCCAGGAAAAATTCGCACAGCTGCGAAGCCCTACTTTAACATAAGTTTTGAAGTGCGGTTTACTCTCTCTCTGTCCGTGGCGTCCTTTCTAGTTTTATGCGCCGTTACATATGTTGAAATAAACTAACTAAACCAGCAAGCAACCATCCTTGACCCACTTCAAAGTTAAATGAACATATTACCCTCATACCAATTCATCATTTTTAAAGTTTAAGAGCTTGCTAAACCAGTTTATATGCCCTAAGTAGAGTAAATATTAAAACTTACCATATTTTATCGGCTATCACTTTTATTTCAATGAAAGTCAAATCCTGGTACTATTAAAAGTTGTTTCCACTTCCTTTGAACCATAAAAATGGCATTCGCACAGGCCTTGTTTCAATTCTTAAAAAATATTGTGTAAGTTAGTTTGGTTATGACAAATATGTACATTTTTCTTTATAACATGTGATATATACTGATCGAATTTGAGAATTTGATTAGAAATTATTCAACCAAAATTATTATTCACTTCAAACCTAAAATTCACTATTTGCACAAGCCTAGGCATAACTTTTGTCATATCCGTCTAGCTAAAATATCCTTTTTGTTCACATTTTAGACATACTGAATTAGTGCCCCACTCATTGGGCTGTGGTACAAATCTATTTCTGTGCTTGCACTCTGGCCTAGTTCTACTCGTTCTAACTCATTCTGATCTAGTAACACCCTGGCCCGAAAACTTCCAGAGACCAACCAGATCCAAATCGCCCTGGCAGTTTCTGGCGACCCACAAGTTGCTAAAAGTGACCTCCTGACAAAAATGAGTGCAAGCTGGATGGAAACACTTCCGATAATGATCCCATGCCATGCCACGCGGTGGGCTGCAAAAAGCCAACACACTCCGACTCGTTCTGGCAGCCCATGGGCAACCGAAGGTGCAACATTGAAGAGGCCCAGGCCCACTCTGTTGTAGTTGGCCACCAATTCTGCTTTTCCTCTTTGCATCGGCCATTTGCATTGCTTCACTCAGCACACGGGACTTATTCGAATCAGCCAGAGTGCAGACAAACACACACAAACAAAAGTTTGGTGTCATTAAATACAAGTGCAACTAGATTTAATGCAATGATGACTGTGTTCAAATTATTTCATTAAACAAAAAAAAATCCAGAAACAAGTTTTTTGATAACTCAAAATCTAAAAATGTAGCATAGCGACGCCCGAAAGTTACAATGGCATTTATTTTTGCCACCAACCCACAGCTGCAAGTGTAAACAGTTCATGAGGCCAGCCAGAGAGCAGCCTCGACATAGAGCCGCCCATATCACTAAGACTTAGGGGCCAACATGTCTGAGGAATGCAAGTTCGTCCCGTGAATTGATTGCAGGCTACCGATATGCAAAGATAGAACATATACAGCGACTGTGCGAGCAGGCCATGCGAGAAAACACCATGCATAAACCATGAAACAACAACCGCAGCCACCCCCACTCCTAGCATCAGCCAGTAAGACAGCAGTGACTGCCAAATCCGTTGTTGAAAGACCTTCGAAATCAAAAAAAGAAAAAAAAGTCTGTTCAGTGCATGGGTGTGGCATGCAGCCTCATCAAAATAAAGCTAGGACTGTGACTAGGGTGCCTACATGTCTCGAATGAAATAGCATCATAGCAGACACACAAAGGAAAACCAGCGTCTGTCAAAATTAGAAAAAAATCCCAACTTTATCACTCAACTTTTTCAGGAAAAATTTCGTTACACTGAGTTTGGTGGCCCATTTAATGTGCTAATTCAAATTGATAACAATACCGAGCCTTAAGGGGCATTTGCCAGAAAATTAAAATTTCAGTAGATTGAAACAAAGTGTAAATTTAAGGGCTTGTTTTTCTTTATTTCACCCGCCACGGTGATCTAGTGTCTAGGACCCTCGGCTGCTGACCTGCAGGTCCCGGGATTGAATCCCGGCCGCCGCGGCCGCATTTTTGATGAAGGCAAAAATGCTTGAGGCTTGTATGCTTAGATTTGGGTGCATGTTAAAGAAGCCCAGGCATTCGAAATTTCCGGAGCCCTCCACTATGGCATCTCTCATAATCATATGGTGGTTTTGGGGCATTAAATAAAAACAATTATTATTATTTTTCTTTATTAGACACAATATTATTAAGTACTAACAGACAATAAACTTTGTAAAATCAGGTTCTGTTAAATCAAGTTTTAACAGTAATGCATATGTGTGCCAGAACCAAAGGGTAATTCCAAATTATGTCTTAATTTTTTTGTGTTAACAAAAGTGAAAGTAACGAATATTGACTGAAGTGATATGAGTGGCCTCGCACTTAAACCTTACAATAAAGTCATACTTGCAGTAGAAAGCTTCATTATATCAGAAACTTTGTTAAAAGTGCCCTGCAACACTTCTTTAAGATTGTCAGAAAATGCTGCTGAACGGTGGCCGAGGCTCCTAAGAACACGCAAGCCAAACATTATCCAGTCGAATCTCGATCATTCCAACTCGGAAGGGCCGAAAAATTTGTGTAAATTAAAAAAAGTTCGAATTAATGAAAGCTAAATGAACGGAAGGCTCACCATGCAGTGGCACATGCGCATTGAGCTAACACATGAGGGGGAAGTTTCACAAGACTTGCATTTATTTACAAATCACAGGACATCTGTCATTAATTGAAGTATTCGGTGATGCGTGTCTGCACATGTTTGCCTAGCAGTGAGTCAATCAATTTCGCACGCAGTATGCCATTTCTATTTCGGCTTCAGCATTCTCCTGGCAGAAGTTGCGTGCGGCAACGTCTGGCACCAACATTCTCTAAAGACGACGGCAACGACTGCGTCTCTGCTGCTACCCTCTGCGCCGCAGCTGGAGCGTAGCCAGCACATGACGAGAAAGGAGGCGCGTCTCCACGCGAAGAGAAGCAGATCAACATTTGAGAAAGAACCAACACTCCGCAACAGCTTTTTTTTTTTTTTTTCTCTCTCCTTGCGCGGCGTTGAAAGGACAAAGGTCTCTACGTGGCAGGGACGGAAAGGGGAGAAGCGTGGCACAGACACCTAACAAATCGGCATTTGAGAGAGAGCAAACATTCCGCCGCAGCCTTTTCTTTCGTTTTCTTCTTTCCCTTCTTCGCGCGCAGCGTTGTGGTGTCGGAGGTGCCGTCACAAGATTGGCCGTGGTGCTGAGAGCCTTTTCGGAGCGCGGTATATTCAAATTAACTGTGGCAAGTGCTTGCGCGTTCGAATTACAGGGCGTTTTCGCCCACTGGAATACACATAGCTTTGACGGGACCACAGTGCGAGTTCGAACTAACCAAAATTTCGAATTAAGTGTGTTTGAATTAATGCAATTGGACTGTAGTGGTGCAGATAGCTTGTAATTGACAAGTAATTCTCAAAATCAAACTCGTTCTCAAAATTGAATTCTCGAAATTCTAAGGAATTCTCAAAATTGAATTCTCAAAGTCAAACAAGAATTCGTTCCCTCCTCTTTTTACACATGATGACATATACCCAAACTCATGGCCATTGGCTGATTTGAGCATTGTGAGCTGCCTAGTGACCGCAGCCATGGGAGGCCACCATGCGCTCGCGATTGCACTGAGAGTAGGCCGCGTGGTCAAACAAGAAAAAGAAAATGTGCCCATGGTCGTGATGCACACATGGGGTAACGTCTATTCCTCGTGTGATCCCTCCCTGCTGAGCTTCCATTGCAGTCATCAAGACAAGAGAACAGAGAAAGCAACTACAGCGTGCGACAAATCTTTGTATAACTCCGTTTCGCACTTGACGGATTCTAAACATTTTTGCAGCAGTTGGTTCGTGAAGCAATAAACTATTTTAACGAAGACTTTTGACAGTTAATTAGAAAAGTGTTGCAGGGCCCCTTTTAAGTAAGTAGGGATTCTTTTCTTTCAGCAGTCAAAAAAAAACTTGCAGGTGTCCACACTAGTTCTACATCTCATTAATAATAATACTGAAAGGCAGAGGAGCCCGATTGCACGCCACAGAAGCCAAGATGAAACTAAAAGCACTGAAAGCACTCTGGATTTCTCATCGTGACCGTGAGAGAGTTTCACAACTTGAGTCTCTTTGCAAAGTTAAAACCCCCGACCCAACCATTCCAGCAGGTGACATACAGTTGTAGCAGTGACTGCCTCCTTGCACTATTTTGAAAAATTAGGCAGTAGTGAACAGTGGCACAGTGCACATAGGTTGCCACCTATTACAAATGTGCAATAAACTTAACAAGGCCCTATATCACACATGCTCCCCAACAGATAGTTGAGTACGCTTTCTGCGATAGGCGTGTCGAGAATAAGTACCGTATTTACTCGATTCTACCGCGCCCTCGATTGTAACGCGCACCCGATTTCCACCGCGAAAAAAAAAAAAAAAAACGTAAGACATCGATTGCAACGCGCACCCATTTTTTTTTGCTGGCCCGCACGATCACACCACTCGAAAAAACGATTCCTTTCTGGATTGTCTTCCATTTAAATATGAGGTACGGGCGAAGCTTGTGCCCATCTGACGTGTAACAGAGCATTGCCGTCACTGTAGTTTTACCGTGGACCAATGTCAGCACGCGAACTTGCTTCGCCCCCTTCTTCTCGACAGTTGTGGTGCCAGGCATGTCGAAGTAAAGAGGCGTCTGATCGGCATTCCAGATTTGCCCAAGCAGGTAGCCGTTGTTGCGCCGCAAGTTTAGGACGAACCTCTGAAAACTGTAAAGCTTTTCATCGTACTTCTCCGCAAAAGTTTTCGCATATGCATGTTCCCCTTCGGAGGGAAGAGCCTTTCCTCTTCATATAGTTAATTAGCCAGCACCTGCTCGCTTTAAACAGGCTCCGCATTAGACTTTTTTCTAAGACTAATTGCATAGCCCGCACTTGGAGCAGTTCTGTCGTCATGGGCCGCTGTGCCACTCGCTCCTCAAGCACATACTCGCGGAGCAGCTCTTCAATTTGCGGAAACCGACCCTGCTGTGGTTCACTGAAGCCTTTGCGTGAAGCTTTGCTGTCGACAATCTTCTGCTTTTGTTTCCGCCGGTCCCGCACGCACGTTTCGAGAAGGACCACGATGCGGCCCGATTTCCGTCCGTTTCTGCACACGCGATGACTTTTCTTTTAAAAGCGGCATCGTGGTGCACTCGAGTTTTTGGAGTCGGCCCTTCCAAGTCATCGATGCTAATGCACTACTAGATGACGAACTCCTCAGCACACGTACGAAGTGCCGCACATGGTAAACACATAGGCAGAAATAGCCGACGCACCATGCCGACGCACGTAGGGGGCGGCCATTCTGGATTTGCGATGGCAATAGATTGACCGTAATTTTTTTGTTCGTACTCGATTCTAACGCGCATGCGATTTATGAACTCGCTTAACCGGAAAAAAGGTGCGCGTTAGATTCGAGTAATTACGGTAGTACTCGTGCGTTTGCCAGTGGTCGCCATCACATCATTGTGTATTTCCTATGCTTATCTGTATACGAATTGTACTGTAGTCTTTATCATTAGTCAGCTAGCCTTCACAAGTGAAAATGTGGAAAATCTCTTGACGCACAGTGTGACCTTGACCTCACAATGAATCAATGCAGTCATTTCATGTGAGAAAAAGTGATAGCTTGGTGGTGCATTTCATTCTACTAGCTAAATGATGCTTTTTGCTGCTCCCCAGCAGCATTTCAGTGCGAACGGCCATTATTTGAAAGTTCAAAATACTCGCACACCCCTACCTGCAATGATTACGTACCCATTGAGTACATGCTGTCAAAGACTTGGTGCATACGAATGACCTCATAATAGAGTTCGTCATAGCTCCCAGGTGAGGGCAGGAAGGTGTCTCCATACGTAATGAAAAGGTTGAAGATGTTCACCACTTGACTAGCCAACTGAAAGATGTCATGTTTCTTGACAAAGTCTGACTCTCGGCTCAGCAGGAACTTGAGCAGGCTGATCAGTGCTGCAAATATGAACAACCACATGTACCACAGGGGAAGACAGTCGTGCCCTTATGAGGGACCACAATCCCAAAACATATACTAAAACAACGCCAACCAAAACCAGATCATTGACACAAGGGGAAGAAAAAGATCAGGACTTTTCTTAAAAGTCAACCATAAATGCATAGCCTACGCTATAGCAAAGTTACAAGGAAGTATACAGTACAATCTCAGTAAATGAAAATAGCTTGAATTGTACTGCTGGTTAAGCAGAATGACTGCCGCTAAGCTGGCTTGTTCTGCCTTCTGGTGCTGTCACCGTATACATATTTCTCAGTAAACAGTGATGCTACTGAGATCTTTTGATTTGGAGAATATTCAGAGCAGCAAAATTTTGATTTTGGAGCAGTTTATAGCAGCAAAATATTCTATACCGGAGCACTCCGGAGCAGCTAACATCACATCCTGGAGTACACTGGAGGAGCAAGTAGCATTTACATTCAAGGACATGAATAATTATTTTGGGGCTCTTGTGAAGAGCTGGAAATATTTTGATTCATAGCAAATATCATGGAGCCAAACATCTTAAAAGCACTCCCTATTTCACAAGGTGATGCAAAAGTAATGTCGTCATGCTGCTGAGCATTCTGGAACAACTTGTCCAGTGATTAGTTTCGTGGCAAAAACAGAATACTAGTGCAATAAAATTGTACTTCATGAAATAAAATTCTAAGTACACCTATGTGGTTACCAGCACACGTGGTAGACAAACGCTGCCACGTACAATGCTACAGACTTACAGTTTCCCAACTGCATTCCCCTAAGATGACTCCAAGGAGACGGAGAGGTTCTTTTTCACTATCAATTATACTGCTCGACGTAATATACGGTAATGTCACTTAGCCTCATAAAGACAACCTCCTCCGACACTCATCTCTCTGAGGCTTCTCTGAGCTGGGACTACCTCATTTAACAAACCTCGTTTTGCTATTACAGCGAAGTTTTATACAGATAGGGCATCTTGTCTCTACACAAAAAAACCACAAGTGTCCTCTAGAAAGCAGTGAAAAAAAATTTGGCTGCGTATCTCTGTTGCTTTGCTGGAAAAGACGACGAAATACGAGAGTCTTCTGTCTGGAGGTGCTGCGTGAGATATGGCACCATGTGGCAGTAATGTGAAGAAACCAAAGTTTTTTTAAAAATGTAAAGCCACTGGTAGCTGGCAGCACTGGGTCGTTTTAGTTAAAACCCCTGAATTTTTTAGTGAAGCGTAGGAAACACCCGCTTTTTCATTCATAGCATCGCATTGTCAGCGCAGCGTAATGAAGCCTTCTGTCTTTAGAATTATGTATCTACATATTTTCTATATAAAAAAACACACTGCCTAACATCTACGTATTGATGTTGTGCCCCAAATATGTGTAATATTTGCCTTCTTATTGACAAAGTTCAGAGGTATGAACGCAGCCACCAGATCAAGATGTGTGGACTTGATCACAGGCTGAAACTTTGGCTGGATGGCTGAATTAATGAACAGACACCAACAGACAGACCAAAATGTTTGCTTCAAAGTATCGTAAGAAAGACTACCATCTTTAGAAAAAAAACCTCACAGGGTACTTTATGCATACACCTAGGACAACTCAAAGGCAAAGGCCATTTTGTTTTTATTGCGATAGCAGTTATAAGGACATTCTCAACTGGTTTTTACCATCACTCTCATGTTTTGTGTAATGTATAAATCGATAACATACCTCCGCACATCGTATATTTTACCTGCAGATGAAAGAGCACGCGCGGTGGCCACGAATGCTGCTGAAGCATAGATAAAAATAACCAACCTATCTTCCCATTGCACAAAGGATGCATGCAATAACATCACCTCGCGTACAGGTCTACCATCAATTACTGCTTAAACAGAGAGGAGCGCGCTGTCTGTCTTCAAAGAGCAAGAAGTAATGCAGGGCAGGGGAGGAGTTGTGGCCCTAAAGCAGCAAATGTGAATTTTTACTTTGAGAGCACGGATACCCTTCTACATGTTGTACTAAATCTTAACGCGAACAGACTGTGCGAAAAGTGCTTCACTTTCTGGAGCGGCCAAGCAGGGGTGTGTACTAAGCCTTAATCACAAAGTGGCCACACCCTCGCAACGCCATTTTGGAGGTCCATTCATATGCACCATTCATGCTTACATACATCAGCGTACAAGAGTTGTTTCGGGGGTCACTAGTCATCCAAGTCACCGTACGGATATCGAACAGAGCACGTGAACATGCGGCGAGTGGGTGGACCTTTAAAATGGCTATCCCACCGCTAGTGCTCCTCGCAGGTGACATGAAGCCTTACTTGATGTAACAATACAATATGTTGGTACCATACTCATTGCTAAGAGCTCAAGTGAAACTAACAAATCATATATATCTCTTGGACCCAATATCATGTAACTCAACCGAACATTGGTTAAACGGGCTATGACCACTCCAGAGCTGTTTTCGTGCTGTCAGTTATCTAAATGCGAAGCAGATGTTAATAGCCCAGAATGTCTACGAGAAGTCTCATGATGCCTCGATATAGCACATGCCAGCGACTGCACCCTTCGAGCGATGCAGTTTCCCACCATCCAAAACGAAGAAATGAATGCGATACCGTGATATTTATTTTTTTAACCATCAGCTATTGACCCTGGAAAGCGAGGGGCAGAAGTATAACATAGCGTATCCGCTTCACTCATAGTGAGGGTCTCGTTCTGGCAGACTTGGTGCCTTCAGGTAGTATACGAGAAATTATTGGTCAGCTGCCATATCGGAATAAGTTCACACGCTACGTGACGCCAAGCATGCAGATAAAGAGTGTTCCACACTCGCTCTCATCGCTACAGGTGGTGCTCACTGACACTCCCACGTTTAATGCACATATATACCCTATAAAGTGGACGGGGAGATAGCAGCCATGGTAGCTCTGTCGGTAAAGCATCGGATGCATTATTCCAAGTTCACAGGCTCGATCCCTGCTCACAGCAAGTTATCTTTTCGTCCACTTTTCTTTCTTCACATCTACCTACATTAGAATTCAACCTAATAACTTCCTTTATATTTTCCTTGGCATTGTCTCATTAATCTCATTAATACACTCATCTCACCACAATACTACACTATGTTTATTTGTTCCACCAACAGTAGTATCATGTTGTGTGCTTTCTCATCATATTGAACTGTGTTGACACTACCCGAAACATTCACACCCTAAACATAACAACCTAACATGCTGGCCTTTTTTCAAATGCTAAATATGCACCTCTGATTACAAGCTAGCTCCATGCTGTGGTGTATGATGAAAATAATCAACTCTTGATGCTATCATTATTTGGGCAAGCCCATCCGAAGTAGCATGCTAGGCGTGCCACCAGGTAAGCCACTTACACTGGTCATTGAAGAACACATGCTCGTTCGCTTGCTCGCTCACTCACCCACTCACTCACTCGCACTCTATCACTGACCTCTTTCAAAACGATCACAAACACCGGCCCTTTGAGACAACTGCTCGACATGGTATACCTTCTTTAAGACCGAGTAATACCGTCCAACTCTTTTACCTTTGGGATAGAGCATATTCAGACGGGGGGGATGACAGAAAAAGGGTGTATTTACAATTAGTAGTAGTGCGGGCAAAAACAACCAAGATGGCGAGAGCAGGCACCACTTAGTCCTCTTTTTCTTCGTCCTCTAGCTAAGCGGCGCATAACAACATGCACCTCTAGCTACAAACTGGCTCCACGCTGTTTTAACGTAAGCTTACGAGTGGTCTAGGTTACAAGTAATGGCAGCAGACTGAAGGTCGTACGTATTTATTAGAATCTAGGCCAACAGTTTTTTTCCAGACTTCTTTGTATCAAACTTTAGGGTCAGCTTAGATTCGAGGATTTTGAAAAACAAGCTATTCTTCATCGAGAAAAGTGGTGCAAAACTAGCGCCACCTAGATGGTACCGTAGCCATTAGTAGCCGAGCCAACACCTGGCTTAACTATACACATGAGGCCACCATTTTGATCTTTAGCCATTTGTCATTTTAAGTCGCGCTTCGAGTGGTCCCTGTGTGGCATAGCTCAATGGCGCCTAACAGGCGGTGTCATTACAGTACCGCCTATAAAGGAAAGTTGTCCAAGCCGTGGAGTCGTCATGCAACGTTCAAGCCAGGTGAGACTTTAGAGTGAAAAAAATAAAATAAATGCGTCACTGAGGGGCTGAAGCGTGAAACGACAGCTCAGGAACTTTGATTGTGTGCTCTTTCAAGAAGTGCGGCATATCGAATGCCCTTGATGGCACCGAGAATCACACACTATTTGAAAACAGTGACAAAGAAGTCAGCGACGAGAGAAGCAGCGGCGACTGCTTGGAATGAGTGCAGCATCGGCAAGCAGAGGCTCTTTATGATGCAAATAACTAGAAGCAGTGTGAAAAAATGACGACAAAGAAGACGACTAGTGACTGTATGTTTTTAGAGCTATTTGCATCATAAACGTACTGCTTTGTTTGATCTTCATGTTCAATAAATGTCTTTTCATGAACGCTGTCTTCGCTGTTTTGTTCGACCTACAATATGAGGTGATATTTTTTTTTTCCGGGCTTCGGACGTTTAAGGGTCGGCTTAGAATATAGGTCGGCCTAGGTTCGAGCAAATATGGTATATATTTTGACAATTTGCTTTCTTCTATTGTTTTCTTATTGTTCACCCAAAGTGGCCAATAAAGGCGCATGCAAAATGAAAAGAGTGTTCAGACAGTGAAAAGTATTGTTGAACAATCCGAGACCTGAGTGGCACCATCTGTAACTAGCCCTCATCCATCAACTCAGCCAGAAATTCCTGTCAATTTGTTCTGAACGATGTATTTTCTGATAGGAGTGGTTTCATTACTATAAAACAGTTGAACTCACTCAGAATGATGAACTCATCATTTTATGGACAAACTGTAATGAAAGACACAGATCCCAAATTTTATAAAACAAGTCTAATTATTAGTAGGGGTATGTAAATAATATTCAAAATTTTCAATGTCTTTCTAATAATGTCTGCTATTCAATTTGATTCACACTGGAATTTACTTATTTAAAACTATTCAAATTTCCCAAAATCAGATACAGTCAATATCAGATTGACAATTGCCCCTTTACAGTTATCAATTTTCTTTACCCCATCATAGTCTCGTATCGTGGTAAAGCTGTCTTTCAGGCTCTGCTACAGTCTCAAATGTATTGAATCAAGAAAACCCTGCTTCCAACATGGAGATGATAGATGTGGCACAAGTGAAAGCTCAATTTTTTGGACTTGAAATTTGGGCAGAAAATCTGATAAAAATCAGATGTCAAAGATTCTTAGTATCCAAAATTTCAGATGTTCTTATATGTCGACTTCTATGAAGCAGATTTGGAGCTCCGGATTCGAAAAGAGCACATCTTTGTCTGCCACATCAGTTGGGCTTCCTCAGAAGTTGATAGAGGAGAGGCTGAGGAAATAGCATCTTAGCCATTAATGTGAAAAGAGTTAAAACGCTTTAGTAGATCCAAATCATCTGCATAAATACAATTCAGCCCCTGCATTGCCTCATCCTTGATAAGATAGCTATAAAACACCAACCTGCCAGCACTTCATCAACCTAGTCAAAAGAAACACTTTCATGGAGCCATCTCATAGGAATATGCCTGAGAAACCTCGCCAAGTTTTTTTTTTTTTTTTTTTTTTACAATTTTGCTTCTAATTATTCGAGAAATACTCTATTAGATTTGCACTCACACTTCAACAGTTGTACTGGCTTTGCACCCAAAATTTTGCTACTCGCACAGCTCTACTTATTAGTCATTTCATTCAAACAATGTCAATTCTTACATTAATTTGCATTCACAAATTTGGCAATCTTTGTCAGCCACGACTTAGGGAGGACTTTGATAAATAAATAAATTTTCCTTTATTGGCTTTCCACAAGTCATATTCAGTTGATAATTTCCTGTTGATCAGAAAAATGTGTGGTATGGCACCTGAAACAACGAAAATTCAACTTTTTTGAAACTACTGTCTTGAAAATATCAAGGAAAATTCCTAACTTTTGGAACAGTGACTGGTTCTTTTGTTGACATGAAAATTAAATCCCCCAAATTTACCAGAAAATCAGCATCTTTACAACTTTCTGTGAATAAATCGCAAATTTTTCCAAAAGTCTGCCTAAGTATTAACCAGCCCACCTTTCGCCACTTGCTCATTTCCCAATATAGTACCATTTCAAGATTTTTCATGCTACCTAAACACCATTTAAATTTGACAATAGCAACTAAGACAGAAGACATGCTAACTATACCTAATGCAATTACAGACTTTAAAAGACACTATGAAAGCACCACTATGAAAATGCACCCTTCCAATTGAAGTGACAGTGCTCACTGTGCTAAACTGTGATTTACACCTATAGTTGATTTAGCTTGATCAAGAAGCCCGCCATACGGCCCTCACAGAGCTCAGGGCAACTTACATGTCCACAACTCTTTCCAGCTGTACTGAAGTCGCACTCGGCACTTCTTCTGGTAGCAAAGTAGCCGGTGAATTACACCCAAGCAACGTCTGTACAAAAATAATATTAACATTGAGTGTACGAATGCAAGCCCTGTTCAAATCATAATAATGAATTAATCGACAACTGCAAGAGCTCAGCTACTATTCCATACATTGCTCCTCAACAAGATATGATACCACCTTCATTTACTTTGCCTGGAAGGCACAAGCACAAAGTCTTGTGATACAAAGCAACCATCCCAAAACCTTCTGCTCCTAGAAGAAAAAAAACCTTCCCAAACAAAACTGTGAAAACAAAAAACACACCTCTCTAACAGAGTGGAGGAACAGTGGAAAACACAAGATGACAGCTAAAGGACACCGGGCCTAGCACTGACTGCTATGCGACATTTACTGCAGCAATTATAATGCCAAAACACGAACATAGCTACATATCAACAAAGCAAAAACAAAATTAGCCACATGGCAAACACCTGCTGTCAATATTTCAAACATGAAAACAATTTTTTTAAACAAGTTTACTACATGCTCATTGAATGGTAATGATTTTTCTGTCTACCCTTGCTCAATGCCCTTCAATGGGCCTGTAATGTATTGTGAATGAACAAATAAATAAATTCATGATGGTCCCTTCCTGTTATGTTTTCTAACCAGGTTATGACAACAACCAGCTAGCATGTGCACCCTCGTACCCCCTCTGAACCACTAACCACTTTGGCCCCGCCGCGGTGGTCTAGTGGCTAAGGCACTCGGCTGCTGACCCGCAGGTCGCGGGTTCGAATCCCGGCTGCGGCGGCTGCATTTCCGATGGAGGCGGAAATGTTGTAGGCCCGTGTACTCAGATTTGGGTGCACGTTAAAGAACCCCGGGAGGTCAAAATTTCCGGAGCCCTCCACTACGGCGTCTCTCATAATCATCAGTGGTTTTGGGATGTTAAACCCCACATATCAATCAATCACTAAACACTTATAATTGGTTACTGTATGCAGAATCTTAGCCAGAGGCAGACCACACACCACTCTTTCAATTATGCTGGCAAAACTGGGTACCTTGTCAACGTTCTGAAGGCTGCATTCCTAAAGGCTGCATTCCTAAGGCAGCTACTAAGTATCCCAAGATAAGTTATAGCCAGGACACAGCTATTTACTTTTTGTTGATCCAATGCAAAATCTACCGACGTGAGCAATATGACCTGAAACACCAAATTCAGGTTTATTCAATGATTACTTGTAATGTACTGATTTGAACGTGATGCAGTAAACTGCCAGAGATACTTGTCCACCTAAGCATTCAGTGCAACGAGCACTGCTGCACTTACCTGCTGTGAGCAGCGGCAACAAACTTCGAATGGTAATTTCTGAGTTCCAGCTACCCACAACTATACCACAAGTTCTTGGTTCTTGTCAAGAAAGTGCCTAACAATACTCTTTACAAAGCTGCAATAGTATTACCTGGCTGGAAGGGTAACAGTTGGTGCTACTAGTCTGTTTTCCATAATTTTATGGTGGTGCAGCGCGAAACAGGACAGAGGAACACATAAAAGAGCTAATATAGAAAAAATATACTATATACATGTGACATAAAACAGAGATAACATTATCACCAACTGTTCACGCTGATGTCATCTAAAAATTAAAACTTCCTTTGCGATAAAGGTAAGAAAGGCTTACTTACGCACCCTCACATGCCATGCTAGCTGATTGGATCTGCATGCATCCCTGGCATGAAGATATTCATTCGCTACATTTACTGTCCGAATTCGCATGCACAATAGCAGCAGTTTCCCAAGTGCTTGCTTCAATCATACACAATTTCCTAGGTATACACTCTCGAAGAAGTGAAGCAGACTTACTGGTAGAGGTCAATCAAAAGGTTCTTTTTCATATGGCTGAAAATAAACTCCACCATGAGGTCCAAGAGCGCACAAGCAAGAGGCCGAGAATGAACATCTCGCAGAGGTGTCACTTTACGATGACGCATGGGCTGCCAAAAAAATATTGTTCCCTTTCAGATAGAAAATTATCTGCCTGTGTTAATGTCACTCATACAAAGGCAACGTTTCACCTTACCCTGATATTCTTACATTCGTTAGCCCTTCGTTGGGGAAATTTTTTACACACACTGCATGGGTGCACAGATATGGTTTTTCACAAAGTATGCCCGATAGAAATTCAATATTTTTGTACATAACATTTTTGGAAGTATTTCAATGGGAATTACTACTTTCCCATAGCTCATTCTATGCAACTAAGAAATAGAAATGGTTGAGATCAACCCTTGCGGTAGCAGGGTGCACCGATGTTTAATTTTTAAAATTTAGCTCAGCTTCTCTAAAATTGTCACATAGTTCTATGGTGTAAATATAGCTTCACTGGCAATTATTACACGTGTTAAGATAGCAAGTAGGAGGTATATTTAACACCGCCCAATAAACGCTTCATATGTAGCCGAAATTGTAATTAAGACCCTGAAAGTCTAGTGTGGTGCATCCAGGCACATGTGTTAGCAACAGCACACATTAAAGACCATCTTCAGACATTCGATGGTCAATATGCTGTTTTAAACCATACCCCACATCCTATAAACCACATTTAAAAAACAGTTTTTTAGACAGGTCTGATTATTCCCTTACACTATACTGCTGATGCAGTCACCCGCTACAACAAAATTCACAAAACATGTGAAAAAATTCGTTGTCACAAAATTTCGTGGTAAATGAAGAGGTGTTACCGCAATAAATAGGCATTATGAGGTCAAGCACATGCAAGTATTGCAGAGAAACATACTAAGAATGTAAAGGAGCAAATGTCCCTGGACATTATGTATGTTCCTTAATTATGTACACATGCACCTACCATCTCCTGTCACAGTGGGAGCGCTGTGAACGCTGTCACAGTGTGAGCGCTGGAATTGCCAGGGAACAATTGTACGTACATACATTAAAACTAAGCCAAAATTCATAAAGATAATTACTTATACAATCAATCCATGACAGACAGCATTAAAAGATAAGGCAATTTACACAAGTATACATATACACATACCATTCTATGCAGCTGAACTTTGAAGACCATGTTGACATCATGCATCATGGAATTTGCATATTGATCCTTAAAAAAACACATAAGAGTACGAGTTTAAAAAACGTAGAGAAAATTCTTGATTACTAAAATCAGCTGTCATACTCTATGATGAAAAAGGCACATTACAAAAAAAAAGAACCAAAAAAACTTTTTGAACATTTTTATACATGCATTTAAAGCAGAATTTTTAGAAAGACATAAATTCAATCACAGAAAATAGCCTAGAATAATGCAAGTTGTCTATTGAAATTTCTCTGGCTTCCACTACTACATTTCACTCTCCTATTGGCACTCTGCCATGCATCAAACAATAGCATCTCGTTGCACACACATAGAGAAAGCTAGCATACCGTGGTAGCTATTCTGCAAATGCTCAGCATGGTAACACAGCGTGATAGCTCAGCACCGTAACTCAGCATGCCAACTCAAATCCAGTGCTGGCTAAACTTGCAATGATGAGTATATGCTACTCAAGAGACCCATGCACTGAACTGAGATACTACAAACCTCTTTTGCAAGGCCTGTATAGCATTAGAAGCAGTTGAACAGCTGAATATGGCATTAGAGTAATCAATTTGCAGCAGCAAAAGGTCAGGTATTCAAATGTGAAATGCTTGGCAAATCAGCAAGCCACCCCTTTCATGCAGTAAACCTTATTTTGAGAAAAATCCATGCAATGTAGTATCATCAATGTAGCAACATCAAGTAGTATCATTGCAATTCAGAGCATCAAAAGTCCCCTCAGCAAATGGGATTGAGGCATCACCACTTTACTTAAATAGTAACAGTCATGCATAATGCTTCATAAAATAATGGTATTACGTAATAAGTAATTAGATAAAATGCAAGCACTCACTTCAGTGATGCAGGTAAGAATGATGAAACCAAGCTTGGTGGTGTTTGCGTTGGCTTCAACTGGAAAGCAAAATTTTTGCAAGTGTGTCATATAGCAAACAAACAAATCATACACATTTTAAAATAGCAACCCTCAAATAATGATTAATTTACATGCAATATATTCTATAAACATCCCACTCATTACATCTGTACTTCCCAATTCATATAGTATGCAAAAGCACAATATGCTTCAAAAGATGCATTTCTACAGTAACCATTTACAAATGTCACTGAATCATTGCGTGGTATCCCAATCCTATTCTGTATGGCAGTCAGCAATCACATAGAAGCATGAACTTCTAAGATTTCTTAAGAAAGATTTGCAGCCATGCTAAGTAAATTTTCCAGTAACTCCATTGTTTTGCAACTACAGATGGCAAAGCAGGAGGAAGTCCCATAGTTTTACATTATCACAAAATTAATGTTGAAGAGATTAATAGTCCTATTGAATACATGTAATCAATACTTCATCTGAAAAGTTCTTGCACACGGTGTTCTGGTACTGCACAGCATAACTTGGCAAATACTGCTAGTACAGCACAAAACTGATCCATGACAAAAACCCGCAAATTCTATCAGATGGTGTTCTATAACATGCTAATTGTATTGTCCTTCTACCATGATAGATAATGCTGCAGAAAAAAAAGTAACATAAAATACTGCAACATATATTATGTGATAACATCTATCTCCCACACATTCTTCTGCTCCTAGGCAAATGTTTAGTAGAAGTGCAATTCAGAAAAGAGGCATTTCCTCTTTCTATAGATTGCTGTAGGAATCCGTACAGCCACATTAACTCATTATAGCTACAAGCCTCATGCTTTCTAATGCCCATTAATTCACAGTGGTCCTGGTTAGCTCACACAGCAGAGTCACCAACACAGAAAGGAATTTCCCGGTTTCAATTTTCTTCATCAGTTTCATCAATGCGCAAACGTCATAAATGTGCAGGAAAGTCTTTTGTGAATGGGAACACACATGCACATGGCCTGAGCATAAGCAAGTGGCAGCGGGAGGAAGCGTGTTTGCTTTCAGCCTTAATCTACGAGGGCAAACCAGAAAGTCTCTGCCCCAATTTGTCTTAGCCAAAATAAGGTACACAAAGGTAATCACAAATATGAGCACTCTTCTATGTACCTTACACTATACTTCATAGTACCATCCCCAGTTCAGATGTTTGTTCCATAGCAGAACTAAATTTGAAATGCTCCCCATGGTAAAATTCATCTAGCTGGATAGTTATGCGAGGTTATGTTAGCAAGTCCTTACAGCCTTCTGCAAACTAACAACCCCCTCTCACAGTCCTTACAGCCTTCTGCAAACTAACAACCCCCTCTCACAGATCTCAAAGTGAGACACCTTTTCCCAAGCATGCGCTGCCTTTCTTAGCGAATTTTGATGGGCATTCATCCCATATAATAATAATAATAATAATAATAATAATAATAATAATAATAATAATAATTGTTGGCGTTTAACGTCCCAAAACGGCCATATGATTATGAGAGACGCCATAGTAGAGGGCTCCGGAAATTTCGACCACCTGAGGTTCTTAACATGCACCTAAATACAAGCACACAGGCTTGGCATTTTCGCCTTCATCGAAAATTCGACCATGCGACTTGCGGGTCAGCAGCCGAATGCTTTAGCCACTAGACGACCGTGGCGGGTTGGCATTCATCCCTTGCTTCATAGATAAATCACACTTTGCTGCTCGTACACAGAGGTCGTGCAAGCATAACCACCGCATTCAACGGCTCGCAGCAATGCCATTTTACAAATCTACTAGCACGTAAGGCTGGGCCATTCTAAATAGATCCACCAAAGGGGAGGATATGCTGACTTAGCAAGCAGAACATAATTCAGCTTAAACAAAAAAAAGAAAATCAGGGGTAAGACAACAAAGTGCTTGATTGGGCTGGTTGGTGCTGCATAGTAGATGAAAAATGAAGAAAAGTACTTAACAGTGCTAACGACAGGAGGGGATAGAAAAAAAAAGACATCAGTGCTCTGTCTCATCTCTTCTATCCCCTCATGTGGTTCGCATTTCCTCGTGTGCATTTCTATGTCCGTTCGCATTTCCTCATGTCCTCGTTTCTTCATTCTTCGTCTATCAGGGGCAAAAACTCTCTGACTCGCTTTCATGTTAGTGGGAAGGTCAAGTGACAGCTAGATTCTCTCCCCCACTAGGTAGTTCATATGGCTGCCAAAAAGCACTTGCAGAGCCCAAGCCAAGCGCTCGCATTTTCTTTTTAAAAGCAAGCAATTAGTAGACTGGTTGCAGCTTCACCGCATAGTGATGTGAATGAGTAATGTACTAAGTGCCATAGCTGATGAACAACGCAAGCCTTGCTACAAGTTGAAGCACGAACTAGGCATCGCTGTAGCACAGCCAGCAGCTACAAAACTAATGCATGCCCATTCAGAAAAAGTAATTAATTGGGCAAATCAGCAGAATATTTTCATGACTAAAGTAATAATTTTTATGAACCAGTTTACTGGTACATATGCAATAGCATTGCAAAGTCGACCTACCTTTTGTTTTCTGCATTACAATAGAACAAAACTCCAGGAATGTGACAAGCAGGTTGGACGGCGGCTGATCCATGGTATTCACATCAACAGGGACTAGGTCTGAATGCATATCAAGTAAATAAAAAGAGCAATCAGTGTCACAGAACTGTTCTAGCAAAATAGACTGTAAACAAATAAAATTGGTTAACTATTCCTGTCCTCTTAAAGAGACACTAAAGTCAACTATTATATCGAAGTTGATTGTTGAAATGGGGTTCCAGAAACCTTGTAGTGTTACTTTTGTGCTAAGAAAGGGCCTATTTTGAAATAAAATCATGTCTCAGTGCTTCGTATCAGGTTAGCGCACTTCAAATTACCCGCCTCAAGAAGCAGACCGACCGGACCGCCTCTCGTCACTGTTGCCATGCTCAACGTTGCCCGGCTAGTAGCAGCAGACCGAAAGCAGCGGGAGCCACAGCAGCAACAATGGCCATTGATCTATAGTGGCTAGAAAGGTTTTTCTGGTGTCGTGAACCCGGGCGCCTTCCCAAGCGGGGGCGGAGAAATCAGATTCTATGCACCGCAACGCGGCGCTGTTTGTTGCTGGCGCACTGGCAAGTGACGTGGGAGGTTGACGACGGGCTGCAGCTGGCGGCAGTGAAACCGCGTCCCTGCCGCAAAACTGCTTCCCGAAACACTTATATTTTACCTGTAGATATTATCACTAGTTATCTTCGCGACAGCGATACAAGAAAATAAAAATGATTTTTACTATTCATATAGCCTTTTACGATGCACAAACTAGGAGTTCGACGTATTTTTGCCGCGCGCACACAATTTTAGTTGTCTTAAGATGGCATCTACCTCACAATGCAGTTTGACTGTCTTTCCTTCCCCCCCCCCCCCCCCCCAAATGAAAGTGGATGTTTCAGCTGACAAAGGCTGGAATGGTCAACAAATAACTGCTAGACCAATGAAGCACCAACGAAAAAAAAGTACACAACAGAGTACGCGCCTTTCTTTTTTTAGAGCTGTCTGTACCAATTGTTAATTTGATAAACATACCCGCTTTATTGTGCTCTCTAAGCATGCAGAAAGTAGCTGCGACAAACTTCCTTGAAAATCAGCGTGTCATTTTTTAGGTGTGTGCAGGTGGAAAAGAGGGGGGGGGGCCAAATCTGCTCCATACATTAAATTAATAGGGAGGGAAGCTGCTGCGATGAACCTCCGCCCTCCTCCAAGGTGGATGTTTGAGCTGGCAAAGGCTGGAATGGTCATATATAGTAACTGCGGCACGGATAAAGCAATAAGGGAAAAAAGTACACAGGCAACAAGCCGCACCTTTTTTTTTCAACTGAGTTAATTGTCTTTGCCAATTGTTAATTTTGAAAAAGCACCCGCATTATTGAGCTCTTCTGCGTACGCAAAAAAAAAGAGCAGAGATAAAGTTATTTGAAGACCAGTATGTGAAGCTTAAGTCGTACGTGGAAGAGGATTGGACAGCCATCGTTACTAGGGGGGGGGGGGGGGTGATCCTGTTGGAATTTTGATTTTGTTTTTGCAAAGTCTTGTTTCAGATAGGGGCACTGAGAAATCGACATTTCCCTTCAGCTATTGCTTGGCTTTTACTTATTGTTCTTCCTTATTTATTATATTAAAGTAAGTACATCTATTTCATTTGTCGCAGCTTCTTAATAGTAATAATATTTTCCTCATGTGTGCATGAATTTCACTTTAATTTCTGCTGATGCTCATTTTCGTTTTCATTGAGGTATACCTCTCTTTCTTTTTTTTTTCACTGTTCACTAACATTCTGCATCAAAACACTTGTCCTTGCGTCTTTCTATCTGGTTGTTGTATTTTAATTTTTATGTGATAGCTATAAATATATATAAACAGCTATAAATATATATAGATATTGAAGTCTATACTCAAGCGCAACTGTGTGGAAAAGAATGTTAATAAGCTGAGACTAAAGCCCTGAATCTCCTACATCTTTGTTCTGTGCACGCTATATATCCTGCTTAATTTTTGTATGTGCCGTTCAGATGAAGATAACCTGGCAGTATACCCTGAAGATCAGTTTTTTTTCCCTTCGTTTACAATTTATCGGTGCCCTGTGTGACGAGCACAGCGTTTTTGTACTGTTACCACAAAGCCTATTTTTAAGCGAGAAATGCCTAAGAGCGTGGACTCAGACGTGTATATGCCACATGCCAGCGAGCGGTTGCACCCTCTGGATGCTTTATCGTAAAATCTTTCAGCTTTGCCGCCTCGTTCACAATACTAGAAAAACCTTTCTAGCCGCTATAATTGATCAATTTCCCACCATTGGCTATGAGATTGCAGACGCTTTTGTTTCAATTGCGCCCTGTCCCGTGCAAACGCGCAAAAATTGAATTTTTGAACAACTTGCGCCATTCCCCATAGTAACGTCCGGCGCTTCTTTTTTTCTTGAATCAAACAGAAACGAACAAGCAGCATCTTATTGCGTCTCTTTATGCACAAAGGGTTCTTTATTTAGTGCAGTTAGATCGATTACTAGTGAAGAATTGTAAGCGCTCCGTCTGATGTCATCAGGATCATTTTGAAAATGTCCTACTGCGGTGCTTGTGTACTTGTGCATTTACCTTAGTTTCTCGGTAAGTGGGGCACTGCTGTTGATAACATTGTAGTTTTTAGATGCTGTCATACATTGAGATTTCACTCTGCCGTAAATTGTTATTTGACTTTAGAGTCCCTTTTAGAGTCCCTTTAACCATTAAGATGTTCTGTTTACTAAGTGAGGCTACGTGAGGGACACTAGAGAGAAACAATGACTCGGTTTGAATTGATAAACTGCACTTTGAAAGCTCTAAAGCAATTCATTTCCCCCGTCATAAGTTCATTATTAGTAGAAAAAATCAAGGTTGAAGTTTCATTTTTGAATTTCACAGCCAAGTCTGCGTGCATGATGTAAGAAATTTCAAAATGTATTTGTCATATTTCACGACATTAGCGCGATGAAATTTTCTCAAATTTTGTATGCCAAGTCTCTGGTACCCACATATGACAATGTACTTCAATTTTATCGATTATAAGTTATGTAGAACCCAACACGCGCCTTCAAAATGCATGACGTCACGGAGTTTGGTGCGGGAATTTTATGGAGGCGTCTCCACGAGCATTTTCATTTCGCACGTTTTCTCGCTTATTCAGCATCGTGTCATGGTAAGAGCGGTGTTTTGGGGATTGTGAAATGGTACTTAACTATTACGAGAAAAATCATTTTTCTCTTTAATGTCCCTTTAAGCTAATCCAAAGGCCTTCATTATTCCATTTCTTACATCCTATTGTGCAGGTTCAAGATGTCAAACTATTTAATACGTTGTCTGACTCCTTGTGTTACTTTATCTTGTGTCAAAATTTTGTGATTCCCTCAGTAAATTACATCACAAAAATTTTTCATTCATTAAAGTGCCAAACATTCACTTAGAGCTCAAGAAACTGGTGAAGCTTACAAGAAAGAGCTAAAAGAGGTCACTGTTCTACAGAGAGTGAGATAGCATTGTCAATGAAGATAAATCAAGCTAGTCCTACTGGTCCCCAAGTCCATCTTTTTTTTTACTGCCCCACAGAGCATGTCCAAGTGAACTGCTGTTCTGTGAGTAATTCATGCACAATGAGTATTATAAGAAAAATTAAGTTGTTTGAAGTTTTTTTCTCAATGGCGAGCATAGTAGACGCCTGCACATACAAAGGCCATTCGTTACTTCACAGGTTTGAATTGTGTGGTGTGGATACTATTTTCACTTCCCATATCTATATATTTTGCAATGTATTATCTTTATAGTTGACCAATGTTGAGAGGTTTTTCTATATAATGAATACCTTGATGCCAACAGGTTCAATATATCGTTGCACTTGGCTGCACAGTCATCGAAACAAATACTGAACATGCAATCATAAAACGCAACATGTGCTGTCCTCAAGCGAGAAGAGTAGCCAGAATACTACATTACTAGTAACTGGCTCACCATGCGGAGAGTGTTCAGTCGGAGATGCAGCGCCACTGGTTGGGGCAGTTGCAGTTGCACAGGACTCTGTCTGAGACTGAGAGAACAAGGCAACAGTTGCAAGGATAGATGAAAAGCAAGATGCACAAAGGCCCCTACAGCCTACTAAAGAAAGTAACCATTATACGAGTGCAGTAAACCATTGGATTCCTATTGACTTTTGTTAAGCAGAGCAAAGGTTTAATTCAGGCATGTACGAATATTCAAAGTGCAAGTATTACAGTATTCAAATTCACTTCTACACAAATTTAAGTTATTCAAAATGACTAAAGTGCAGACAAATGAGCAATATTAGACTGCATGTAAACCTCCCCCCCTTGCCACATGGTAAAAGTGATTTCACTGCAGCATGAAAGTGCTATGCTGTAAAAACACCTATTGAAAAAAATCTGCACAGCCGTGAAGCCCCACCTCAAGGTTAAATAGGCATGTTATCTCAAAATGATTAATCAACATTTAAGCTTATAGAAGCTTGTTATGGGGCTTATATGCTATAAGTGTAATAAACTTTAAAAAAAAACGCCAGGCCAGTGCATAACATGCAGCACAGTCACAACGAAAGCTGAAAGAGCGACCACTGGGAGCAACTTTTGCAAGCACAAGTGCATGGTACCCACTTCGCCGTAAATTGTCAAAATGTTTGTGTAATGAGAAAGCGCCTACAATGCCATTATTCATCATCCTTTGGAACAGCGTGGTACCCGCTAGGCACTTGTAAGGCAATATATGCACTTTGTTGATGCTGCGGCTGATGATGACGAATTGTGCCTGAGGCACTATAATGGGTTGGAGCATTCAACCACCCACTCTTTATCTAATCCAAATTTCGTGACACCTAGTTGTTACTTTAATGTCCTAAAATGCTTCATTACACATGTCAATGCAATTCCTTACCCAACGTGAAGCCTGCACATGGTCAATTTGCCACGGTGCTTCAAGCACCAGCATAGCTCTGTGTTAGAGTACTGAGCTGCCGCACAGAGGACCTGGGTTCGGCTCCCACTGTGTCCTCGGAATTTTTTATTTATTTAGGTTTTTCTTATCTTGTGCGATATAGTGGTTACAGACACCGGTGGCAGCAACAGCAGCAGCAGAGAACAACTACGGCGCCAGAATCGACCTTTGTTGTGATCTCATAACAGCTTTCACTGTAAAACTTAACGCATTCTATGAGTTTTTACTTGCATCCTAAGGAAATTCAATTTCTGTTACTATTTCAAGTTGCGTCAGCTTCACTTTGAACAAAAAAAAAATAGTATTTTCACATTCTTTGTCACAATTAAAAAAAAATATTGTGCAAGTTCATGGGGTCACAACAGGTAAATCCATTTTTCTTTACAATATGTGTTATATACTATTCAAACTATTCGATTCGAAATTATTTGACCAAATCACTATTTCCTTCAAACCTAAACTTTACTATTCACACATCCCTTGTTTAATCATTCAGCAGTGGTCAAAAAAATGCGTGCTTTTAAATAGGTGAAGACATGATGTGCACATGTAAGAACCTTTACTAAGACTATCCACATTTGTTAGCATCCTTGGTTATTATTGCCTAATCCTTTGAAAAGCGCAATTTTTAAGCATCTTTGTTTATGCTAATGACAGACCTGATGCAAAAAAAAACTGAAGTTTAAGAGTGTACAACAATTAAGGCCGCATAGATTTTCTTGTAAGAAAAAAAAAACAGGTCCAATATAGCTTTGCCCCAGCTGCTATCATAGTACCTCGCACACGGTTGCTGTACACAATGCACAACTGCCTAGCACGCAGCTATGTACAATTATGATCAGTAATGATTATTGATACATTTTATGATGACCTATTACTTTTCATTGAACATTAACACGTCTAAGGGTGGTAATCTATCAATATAGAAGATAGAGTGGATGTCAGAGAGAGGCGGTAGGGGGGTCTGCAAGATGGTCTGGCCCGTCTCACAAAAGTTCCACCCCAAGTTAAAAAAAAAACATTTCAATGACCACTAAATAAAAAGCTAGGAAGCACAGCATCTCACATTTGTCAGGATCGTAATGAAGTTTCTGTTTAAGTGAACAGCCTCATACAGGGCAAGCAGAACAGCATCATCACTTCTGAAAGAAAGAATGATGCAAGCAAATATTACCTCAGTTCATATTGACAACAAACAAATGTTAGCTTATGAGAATCGGACACAGCTAGGCTGCAATGTCTGGAATTCTTAGTAATGTCCAAAATATATTGAAGACATTACTAAGTGATTTAGTAGTTTGTAAAATACAGAAATGGCTACTTAACTATCTAAAAAACAGCAAATCTACCAAAGCATGACAAACTAGGCTAATGTTTTGGTGAGTTTTTAAACAACGATTTCAGCTTATGCAAGCACGCTTCCTGTGAGTGAACATGACTCAAAGTAAGCGTAACTCTAGCCTCAGTGACAGTAACTACTGCTGCAATGATCGAGGAAAGCCGGCCATAGCATAATGCATTGAAAGAACAACCAAGGCAAATAACAATTTAGGCTTGACTGATAACATTTATATGCTTGAGAATGTCTTAAACATCAAAATTCTTTTGGAAAGTGCTTCACTAACAAATTTTAAAGCAACTGTACCATACGAAATGAGACTGCAGCAAGACATCACAGTACAAGCCTGATGATGTAGCACATGCTACTTATAATTCTGTCACCAGTATACAACCACTCATAATAAAAAATCATTGCAGCACACTGTAAGATGGCATAAATTGCTGGCTATGAATATCTATTCGATTTTTGGGTGTAAGTACCTTTCCCAACTAAGCATAAGTGGTGCACAAACTCTCATCCCAGTGATGATTTCATTCAAGTAACTAGCACCAATCTCAAAGGCTCTTCTTTTGGGTACTGTGAGTGTCAGATTTAATAGCGTGAGCAAAAAACACGTCATTGGCCCCAGTTTAAGGCCCCATTTTTTCGGCAACGATAAAGCGACACAGGTGGGCATAATGCTTCATCGCCCATGCACTCCCATTTAGTTTATTAAGGTGGCAGTGCTTCAATCACCTTGCTCGGTAGTGAACTCTAACTGTAAAAGAAAATGCCGCATCCATGCGATGTTGCTGGCACGAATTTCAATTACACTTTTGCATTTTAGCAAGAAACCATAGCACTGTGATGCAGTAAAGGGCACTGATGGTGGATGTGACATTATTCTTTTCGCATTGGGGCAAGTAATCTGGCTTACGCTAAGGGTATGTGGATACTTCAAATGTAATATCCACTTAAATTTAGCACTTCTCTGGCACTAACCAGTGCAGCAAGGTTTCTGGAATGATATTAACTCAATATTTAGCTTTAATGCCCCTATACGTATGTCTATTCTGGCAGGCAGATATGATTTTACACATCTGTTTAGCTAATGAATACACAACAATTCTTCAAATACAAATACACACAATACTTCTAATTAAGTGGAATTTAGAAATAACTTAGTCTGAATTAATAAGGTTTTACTGTACATGAAATACTTTTTAGTTTTACGAGTCCCAATATTAATGAAAAGAGACTGAATTTTAGTCAAATGCCTATTTTGTTCCTTGCGTTCCTATCGCCCCATTATGACATACGAGCACAAATTAAAGGTTAAGTAAGGCTAGTGTTTTTATAGTGCCTATTAATGCCCATTTTTGGCGTTAATGCCTAAATGCCCATAAGTGCCTATAAATGCTTATTTCCGACATCGGCGCCTATATGGACACTATTTAACTTCAAATTTCGTCTTTGAGTGCAGTTGGACGCCGTTGTTCATTTTACTAGGCAACACTGACTATTCAGATATCTGTGAAGTTGACACTAGTTTTTCAATTCATTCAACTTCTGGAAAAATACTTGCACGAGTCAAATTGCGACGCGCTGGCCACCATATGCTGCCGTGCAACAATGACGTGAGTAGATGGCGAATACAAAACCGTGGAGGGCTGTCACGAGAAAGGAGACTAAATATTAAAAGAAAAATGTCATTTGCACATGACTTTTGTTTTTAGTGGTCTGGCTACCTGCTAAATATACTGCCCTTCTCAGCCATACCCAAAAAGAACGATACGCAGGAGTGTGCTGATTCGACAGCTAAGAGTTGACTGGCCATGCTAGCGAATAAAGGAATAAATCAGATTCTGTGAACTTTGGGAGGATAAAGAGATTTGTGGCATTTTATTTTCTTTTTTTTTAAGCCAGGTCCATTTAAAGTGAAACAGAAAAAAGGGGTCAATGAGGGTGGCGGTTTGAGCTTGTTGGTATGGTAGCATAATAATATATATGGGAGCGCTGACTAAGGACACGGACAATGAATGTGCCTTCTCCTGTCCGTGTCCTTTGTCTGCGCTACCATATATTATCAGAAAAACGAGGTTGTTGTTTAGTTCTGACAATACAGTCGGGCTTGCTCGAACAATTTTTTTCCAGTGTGCTCCTGTCACCAATGAATTTGAAACCTATATTGCAGCAAAAATCTACATAGTGAACTATCAATTGTATTCAGAAATAAAATTTTTATATGGCTGTCATAGACAGAAACATTTCATTTGGGCTTAAAATGGCTTTGAAAAAGTATTCTTAAATGACAGCGAATGTGCCATGTAGTAGAATGGAAAGTTGGGCTAGTTGGAATGCTTGCAGGAATGATGCATCACTTGAAAGGAAGAGAAAAAGAACCCAAAGTGCACATGAGTGCTGTCTCGCAACTGAAAGATTTTGAAAAACAAAAACGGCAAAAAAGAAGTAGAAATGCACCTAAGTAACAAGGCACGTAGCCGAAATGCACTCAAGTAATATACAGTAAAGCAAATAATCACTTAGCAACAAGATGTGCACATCCTTAAAAAAAATTCGAACATGCCACCTAATATTACATGAGCCAAGCATATAAGGAGACTCCTTGTCTATCATGCATCGAATTTCTAGACAGACGTGGAGTTTGCTTATCTGCTTGGCTCATGAAATAGGTGACTTGTTTGAATTTTCTTAAATGATTAGCTTTACTGTCTGACTTATGTGCATGTATGCTATGCCTGGAATTGTTTTCCCCTTTTCATTTTTCGAAATAAATATTTCAGCTGCAAGACAGTGCTCGTCCTGTGCACTCTGTGTTCCTTTTGTCCTTGTTTGTAGTGCTGCGTCAATCATCAACGATGTAGCAATATTTTGTGACAAATTTGACACAATGTTGCGCTTCTGTTGGTGTCATTCTTTGTTTTATGGGCATAATGTCAATGAACACACTTGAAGAGCGAGTGGTTCTTTCCAGGCAACAGGAGAACTATTTTGTCCTTGACATGCCTCACTTCGTGTATTGCTTATTAGCTGTTTCTATGCTGGATTTACAATGTGCCATTTAGAATGGCTTCTTCTTCAATTGTTATATTGGTGCCCAATAAGAACTTCATTGCTGCAGTCTTCCACAAACATTTGTTTACTAGCGAAGCCTTTTTTTTTGAAAGCCTGAGGTGCTTATTTTTCATTTTTAGACTGTTAGGATTAATAGTATGCAAGTTTTCAAACAGCAGTGGGAAAGTAGCAGTTATTTTCTGGTATAGAACCGCAAAAAGTATGAGTTAACCAAATGATGGAGTTTGAATTAATTTTGTTTGAATTAACCGAAAGTATGAATTATCAGTTTGAATTACCGAGAGTCTACTGTATACCATCTTTGAGCAAAACATGGATATGGTACTTTAGTGCAAACCTCGAAAAGAAATGCTAACAAACAGGCAGAAGTACCAAAGTTGGCCTCCTACTTTTTCCCAATTGAGTTTTGCCCTACAATACCATGTCTTTCAGTAAGCACAAGCTTGCCTCCAAAAATGAAATTTAGAGCGAAAGCACGCTAACAAAGCTACAAGGTCACCAATGAAACAGACTGGATGAGATCACAATAGTTGTTTTGGCAACGATTATTAAATAACATCTAGGGTTTTACAACCCAAAACCCCTAAATGATATTGACAAATACGGTAGTAAACAGCTCTGAAGTTTTGATGATCTGGTCATGTACAGTACACGGGCCTCTAGCATTACGCCTCTATAGAAATGAAAATACTGCAACTGGGATCGAACTCGCATTTTTCGCTGGGCAGCCGAGCGACATAACCAGTACACCACCGCGGCGGATTGATAACAGTTGTCGACGCGCTCCATTTTCATGAATATAGCTCAGATTGATTTAAACAGGCACAGGATCAGGGTAATTTTTTAATCAAAACTGCTTCTTTGAGTCCTCATTACCATCAGGAGTTTCTCACTTTTGATTACAAATGCCAAGTGTGAAAGATACTAAGGCATGTTTTTTGTTTTCATGAAACTTAGTTTCACATTCTCATGTTGGCTCCTTCCGAAGATGAACGCCGCAATTGCACGGCTAGGTTTCACTGTTACCACCTTTGTGGCATCATTAATAAAAATTTTCTTGCTTTCCTGTGGTAGATGCAGTTCATGCACATATTTCTTTTGAAATCATTTTTGTGTGTGCAAGTATAGTATATCGCATCTACATTTACAACACCGCAGGCTTGAAACCTATCTTGCCTGCCTACTTTCGGCGCTTGAACCACACTTCCTTAGTGCCTAAATATCCGGCCTCTACTAATGAGGTGTTCACATTAGATGCAGCTGACCTTGCACATGTTTATAGACAAATGTAAGGTAGCATAGAAGGAATATCAACCAACCTTCCTGAGTCCTTCATGGGAGTTGCTTCATCAGCAAGAAACATGGTGCCAACCTGAAACATGAATGTGAATGGTTACAATAACAAAAAAATTTCTTTGTACGAAAGAAAAAACACAGGTAATGCTATACAAAGAGGCATTACAATGCGGGAGCTTTATGCTTCATAGTTAGAGCTTCATGTCTTTACATCACGAGCACTCAAGCAAATAAATACGTAGATTGTTCGAACTTTTCTTTGAATTGCCTTTCGAAATAAAGCAGTTAAAAGGTAGCCTTCGTCTTTTTCTGAACTATCTAGTGAGCAGGTCCGAAAGGACACAGCAACCTTTATGTGCTAACATCACGCCTAAGGTTACCACCATTCGCCGGAAAATAAAACAGCTTTCAAGGGGGGGGGGGGGGGGGGGGCAGAGGGGAATAACAAGAGACGAAATAAATATTGAACAGAGGCTATGTTGAGTCTTCGGCATGCAGTGCCATTTAATGTAACACTGATATCCTTGAGTGAAACAAACTTAATGTACACGTGCACAAAAACAAACGAGCCCAAAATGGTGGTGGGCAATTGTGCCGTCGTGAAGCTATAAATTTCTGAAAAACGCCTTTTTAAAGGCAATAGTCTTTCTTGGGGATGTTCGAAGCAAAAATGTTGGTCTGTCTGTACATTTGTCTGTTTGTCCGCCATTAACGATACTCCAAGACCTAAACGGTACCAGACGATACTCCAAACGGCCGACCCCATGCGCAGCGCCCACCAATATTGCTCAAGATTTAGAATTCACACTTGATCGATTGTAAATTAAAAAGCCATTATTGCGAATATCTGAGGTACCACAACATCGCGCCAATATTCTGTACGTGTGTCTTTTTACTAGAAAAGGCATCAATAAGTAATTCTAAGGACCGTAGCGCTTATCACGCTGAGCTGACGATGCAACGCTTGCACAAAAAGGCAAGTGTTTCCACCGCTTTGCTGAGACGACACGGTGGTGGCACCTACCCGTCGCCTTGCGTTCTACACTTTATCGCATCCGAGAAGGGTGCGCACGCCGCCCGCTTCGTTTTCCAAGATAACTGCCAGACAGCGCTCATGTCTCATGTGTGACGTGACTTGATGCGCTCGTTCACCTCCGCTGCATGCTCGAGGCACTCTAACGCAGCGCCTCCAGAATACCATTCACCTATTTTCTTGCGCAGAACATGAAATAAACATTTTGTTCACTCTCTCTGAACACAATGACTATCGTCTTTCGACGACATTTACAGTGTAACATGCAGATACGGGGCCAATTTTTTTTTTTTACTTCCACGATGATTTTCACCACCTCAGCGGGGGCAAAAAGCTTTTTTATAGTACTTCTATACAGTTTTCAGAGAAACTATTTTAGAATCGGGTAGAAAAAATGGTACAGACACTGAAGAATGATTTCCAAAAACAACTTTTTTATGCCCCGTTGAGAATAAATTCCTCTATGACTCTTGATTCTCTACGGTTATAACAGACCCATTCCGCATTAGTGTAAAGTCTGTTGTAACAAACAGTACATGGACTTTACATACTCCTTCTACAGCATACCTAAATTCTCTTCACTATGGAGGTCTGTTGTAATGAGGTCATACTGTATATATTTTTCTTATTACTGAGCCTAAAACAAGCAATACAAATATTATGAAGGGATCTTTTTGCAATAATGACAACAGCCAATGACTGCATGTCCTGATGACTACATAGTTGATTTGCCCTATTCTAGAATACGCATCTGTTGTTTGATACCCTGACAAACAAGGTGACCTAAAAATCCTTGATAGCGTTCAACGTAAGGCCATCCGCTTCATATGCCGTAACTACAGCCACAACTTCTCACCAACACAGGCTCTGCAATCAGTGAACATTGCACCATTACATTCTCGTCATTGCATCGAATCTCTAAAACTATTATATACAGTCATCAACTCCTCTCCTGGCATCTTTGGTGGTAACTACATCGCATTTATGGAATAATCTTGCACCCGCAGCTCCCACTTCTTGAACATAAAGCCTTTATTTGCTCGTACTAACACATTCAAATTTAGTTTTTTCCCATGTACTATAGACCTCTGGAATTCCCTACTGGGCAGTATTCGTTCACTATCATTACAAAATTTCATTGATGCCACTACTGCCCATTTAGAAAATTAGTAAAGATCGTGTTTGCAATACCATAGTGATGTTTTCTTATGTATTGCCGTAACGTATTTCAGTTTTATTGTTGTTTTATTGTTGTTTTATTGTCGTTGCTCTGTTTGTATTAGTTTTGTACAACTCATCCACTCCTGCTATAGCCCTGCATTAAGGCTGCAGTATATTCAAATAAATAATAAGCAAAAATAGTCGGTCCCTTCATCTATGTACCTAGTCAGCCGAGTGGAGAGTGAGCTACTTTTGGCTAATTTTGAAACAAAATGGCAAATCTCCTGTCGTGTGCAGTGCCATAAAATTTGGCTTACATGTTCGCAAGAGCTTTTACTACTTATTGGCGGCATTTTCGGACTAAATTCATCAAGTATTGTTGGCCACTTCAATAGAAAGCTCTCAACTTACAAAGTTGGTCACTGTAGACAAAAGACCAGCTTGAGGTTCAGCTTGTTCTTGCACAAACTGCCTGAAATGCACATTAGTCAACAAACGTCACAGTTTCAAAAAGGTTCTGGAGACAGCTAGCATAACATTAGCAATCATGCAAAACGGTACAACCACATGCAAAACATTAAGCAAATTCCCTTATGAACAAATGCCAACCATCCAATATGAATGAGTAGAAATCACATGGTACTATTGTACCAAAATATGATAGACTAAAAAACTGAATTCTCACTAGTATGGGGCACACAGGGTCAATTTTTAAGCTGTAATCTACACAACACTGTAAGCTAACTGTTTATTAGGTGCTCAACCTGTCGTTCAATCTGTACCACACTAGGAGCAAAATGAGAGAAAATGCACTTTGTACAAAGTGCTTATAACAGTGTGACTGTACTGTGTTACGCTATCCTCCTGACTGTTCAGCAACTCCAGTTGATTATAAGCTCATGGTTCTATCTATGAATATCCAGACATGGGGGAAAAAATAAAGAAAAAAGCAAGCAAAATAACATCAAATCATGACTATAATCCAGTATACTACAAGATATGGTACAGTTGACTGCATATAACTGCTTGATTGCAAGGTGACAAGCAGGAGTGGTAGCAGCAGAGTAAAAAAACACTTCACTTGACTTGTGCAAACATCAGCTTTTGGTTCAAAATAAATTTGAGGTGAATAGCTTGTTCAGTGGGATTAGACTAAAAATAAAAAAATTTCATGTCCTATGCAGAAATGTTTGAAAAATCAAGTGAAGTACAGCATAAGAAATTTGACTGTCATCGTCATCATCAGCCTGACTACGCCCACTGCAGGGCAAAGGTTTCTTCCATAATCCACTAATCAACCCGGTTTTGCACCTTCTCTTGCCACGTTATACCCGTGAACTTTTTAATCTCATCGGCCAACCTAACTTTCTGTCACCCCCTCGTGTGTTTGCCATTTCTGGAAATCCAGTCAGTTACCCTTAATGACCACCTGTTATCCTACCTACGTGCTACCTGCCCGGCCCATGTCCATTTCTTCTTCTTGATTTCAACTATGATATCCTCAACCCCAGTTTGTTCCCTGACCCACTCTGATCTCTTCTTGTCTCTTAAAGTTACACCTATCACTTTTATTTCAATCACTCACTGCAGTGTCCACAATTTAAGCTGAACCCTCTTTGCAAGCGTCCAGATTTCTGTTTCGTACGTATGTACCAGCAAGATGCAGGTCTTATGTATATCTTCCTCTTGAGGGTTTGTGGTAGATTACCATTCATGATTTGAAAATGCTTGCCAAATGCAATGTGACTATATACAGTTTGTGTTGAACCCATTTGTGTGTCTCTTCTCTGTCCCCATGTGCCTGCGCAAATATTTCAAGATGTATACGGTCGTTAACATCAGTTATTTAGAAAAGCAGAGATCGTTTTATTCCATCCTATTATTGGGAGTGAAAATTATGCACGGCAAAATGCAATCCAGTTTAAAACTTGCCACTGTTTAGGCGTAATAAAAACATTTTTTTTTTATGTTTTCAAAAAGAATTTGCACTGCTGGGAAGCCACACCTGAAAATAAAGTTGGCGAGTAATACATAAACTGTGCATTTAAGTGAGGCTTCACGAAGTCAAGAATTTTGCTTGAAGAAGTAGTCTGACGGCAGCGCACACCACACTGATGTGAGCCATCTTTCCAGGTACATTCTTTGTGAAAAATACTTATATTAGTTCGTTTCAATACTTCAAAAGCTCTGACACTAAAATTATAACTGAAAAGAATACCAATGATCTCATATTTCGTAAAACTTGATTGATTTATTTGTGGGGTTTAACGTCCCAAAACCACATATTTCGTAAAACTTGATTCAATATATAAAAACATTTAATTACTCGCCCAAGCCTACTACGTATTACAGAAAAATTAGTCTGTGCTATATGTACTGCACGTGTGCATCTGCTTCCATCTATGCTGAATTGAAAGGCAAAATTCAATAGACCCGCTAGTCTTCAGCCAACATCATCATTGGAAATACAAATGTCTACAACCAAAAATATGTTTACCAGCTTTCACAATGAGACACTAGAAAAATAATTATTTCATGGCAACTTGTCTCACCTATTAAATTCGGCGAGAGCTGTAGATACAACCATTCCATATCCCTATAATAAACAGTAATCAATTTTTAAAAAAAGCACAAGAATTTACATCTACAGAAGAATCTAGCAAGACTTCCATAACTTAAGCTCACATTTTGAGAATCCTTGAATACTGATATTATGCCGTGAAATATACAAATGGGCACTTGAGAGAAATTTTAGATCATACCAGCAAATAAAAAACTGGATTCGGGCACAAACTATTTGAAACATCACAATGTACAGGCAGCTAGATGCAATAGGTTACACACGTAAGTGTATGGTGTGATCCCCAAGTTTTGGTCAGAAGTTTAGGCTATTAGCAAATTCACCTTTTACATTATTAGATTAAATAAACCACTAAATCAAGGGCTAATTGTCTGGCAAAACAAAAACTAGATGGCAAAGCACTTCCACAGTAGGTGACAACCTGATATGTTGCTTATAGCAATATCATCCTCTTCCAACCCTCCACGGTGGCTTCAACAATCACATTAAATCTTCCATGACGGAAGTTAGTGAGTTCACTAAAGCATGCTAGTTAGGCGGTCTGAAGATGATAAAGCCCTTAGGTTAAGATTATAGCCTGTGCAACCTGATAAATCATTAGAACAACACCAACAACAGATTTCCAAGCACGAAAGAACAATCTAAGAAATGTTCCTTTTGTAAGCTGAAAATGTCTTGCAGACATCAGCCTTACTCACATTCAATGCCAGTTCATTGTCCACAATAGAGCAGCTTTACAATGTACGGGTTGGCTGCCTGCACATAAAAAGAATAAGTCACTCCAAATGGGCAAACCAACCAGATTTGTGTTCTCCCTTTTATCATAAAATATTTTGATGTTTGCACAACTCCTCACAATGTTTTCATGTCCTAATTTATTTTGCAGACTGCATAGTTATCTCAATTCTATTTGTTGGACAAGTAGCTTTCTAGGCCAGGCTAGGTTTGGGTAAATACCAGAGTGCACTACAATGCCCTTTGCTTTGCAACTACTATAACCAGCCTTGTGGGTTAACCAGCTGGGTAGTCACCCAGGGCACAATCAATAAGGGGGCACCCTGTGCACCCCAAAGCATTTTTAGATTTAGTTCAGCGTAGCACACATCCCGAGCCTATATTCTCAAGCAACGAGATTCGTAACTGACAAAACACTCGCATTAAGCAACTACTCTGGGTCTGCAAACAATATAATTTGTATGGGGCATGGACCTATTAAAAGAAAAGATAAAAAGTGGGGTGAGGCCTGGCCAAAAAAAACTTAGGGCACCTAATAGTGTAGGGCTGCCCCAGACTGCAAGTCAACCATAATACCCACTTATTGGATAAACCAAAATTTTCATGGCAAAAAAGTGCTCACCTCATATTTTCTGTAGCTCACAAAGATTGTCAATACTAAAACAGCATCGTAGCCGCAATGTGCTCGAGAGTGTTTGTCTGCGAGCAGCTGCAATAAGAAAGCATTGCTGTTGAACAGAAATAAGAAAGTAAAAATTGGCTCAAGAAAAAATGATGACAACTGTACCTGTAGAATGGCTTCAAAAACACAGTTCATCATTACGTACTCCAGAAGCGTGTTATTGCTAACATTTTCAGTAGCCTGCAAGTTCAAAAAACCAACACACATAATCATTCCAGTGCTGTTATCTTCACTGGCAACAACAAAAACTCATGAGCACTAACTTTTAATCATCTAATTAATTATTTTAAAAAAGAAGCTATGCATGTGCCCCCATTTAGCAAGTGCTTGAGCCACAGAAATAACACACACAACATAAACTATATTTCATCTCCACTTACTAAAGCCTAAGTCTAATATGATTGTCTATTCACCACAAATCACTGAAGTGAAAGAAGCCCACTGTGTCATCAGAAACGTATATACAGCCAATTTGAATAAAATTCATTGTGCTAACTTTCAGATGCATCAGGCACCTTCAAAATATTGCCGATGAAACGTGATGCAATACTTTAGATGCAGGTGAAATGTGTGTCTCTCCTCAAGTCAGCTCGGCACAAGGCATCAAAGTTGTAAAGAGTAGCAAGCTTGAAAAGTTAATGGTCCACACTTGTTTGCAAGTATTTACAGTAGTTCCAAAGGTTTAGCAAGCCAGGATTGCCGGTCACTTCGTATGACTGCTTTCTCACATCTCTCCACACCTGATGTTGCAGCTCAAATTATATGAAACAGAAACAAGAAGAAGCTTGATGTGTTTGCTCACATCGTTTGTGCAGCTCATTCTGCAATAGTGTTGTGAAACCAGTAACCACAGTGATCCAGTGAGATGAGTTTGCATTTACCTGCACATGCTAATACCATGCTCATTATTTTCACTGTTCAACTAACATGCTTTGCCCCATGTCAGCACCTCTGCAACATCCTTTCCACACTGTGAAGATAACAAAAAAATGCTAATTTTTATTTCAAGAGATATCACATTTCATACAGACTGCTTCTGTGTCCCTGCTTTATCAGCAACACGTAAATATGAAAAATAACTGACAGCAAATGACAATGAGAAATAACATAGTAACTATTGATATTAAAATAATGCACATTGTTCACAATAAATCAGTCAAAATTAGAAAAAAAAGGTTAGCACAGAAAGAGTTAAAGGGCCAGCAGGGCACTTATAAAATGCAGGTAAGTTCGCTGATTGATCTATTGATATGTGGGGTTTAATGATTCGAAACCACCCTATGATTATGCGAAACGCCGTAGTGGAGGGCTCCGGAAATTTCGACCACCTGGGGTTCTTTAACGTGCACCAAAATCTGAGCAACATCTACAACATTTCCGCCTCCATCGGAAATGCAGCCGTCACAGCTGGGATTCGATCCGGCGACCTGCGGGTCAGCAACGGAGCTTCAAAGCATGATAGCTTATAGCAATGTGCATCAAAAACAAGGACGACACAGGAACATAAGAATAGACAAACAACGCAAGTGCTAATGTTTGTTACTGTCGAACAAGCTCAAATACTCTCTAAAACACGTGCTGAATCACTTTGTGAAACCTAGACATGATAAGATGCACAGATTACAAAATTTAAGATATATACAGAAATTCATCACACATGAGCAAACATGGATGATATACAGGACAGTAACATTTCCAGATTCAGTAACAAAATCATTTCTTTGTCAGACAGTGCCACCTGTCTATTCTTATGTTTCTGAGCAGTCCTTGTTTTTGATGTTCACTGCTATAAGCTGTAATGGCTAACCAACTAGCCCACCATTACATCTTCAAGGGACACTGAAGAGAAACAATGACTTGGTTTAGATTTACAAACTGCACTCTGAGAACTCTAATGCCATATGCTTCCCTATCATAAGTGGATTATTAACGGCAAAAATCCAGGTTGAAGTTTCATTCTAAATCTCTGTGTGTGACGTAGGAAATTTCAAAATGTATTTTTCATATTTTTGAGACATTCGCTCCATTAAATTTTCGGAAACACCGTATGCAAGGTCTCTGGTTCGATTAGAAGCTACGTAGGCTCCAGTAGACGCCTGAAAATCCTATGACGTCGCGGTGTTTGGCAAGGGAATCTCAAGGTTTCAGTGCATTTTCTAGCTCAGCAAGCATCATGTCGCAGTAACAGTGGAATTTCTGGAATTGTGAAATTATAGTTCACTAATTAGCAGAAAATCATTTTGCTCTTCATTGTCCCTTTAGGCATACTGAACGCATCAACATATTTATAGATTTGCACATATATAAGATGTTTAGAAAATGTTCAGGAACTAACACTTTGCCTCATGGCAACACAGGTGAGACACAATTTCAACAGGTATAATGCTATAAATAAAGTATTATTGTAGTGCCATAACTTGGAACCATCTCATAGATGAAACACATACACATCTATACAGTACTGTAGAGTAATAAAATAGATAAAATAAATAAATAAATAAAATAGATGAACGTTATACAAATATACTAGATGTCTGTTGTATAAAAGCTTAATTTTATCCCAAATTTCTCCCACAGAAGACAACCATGACAGCAACAGAAAATATTTCTTTTAATTTTCCTATGTTAACTAACATTGTGAAAAAAATATTAATATATTTAGAAAGAGAACTAATAACTATGGGTATCTTCATGGACTTAACAAATGCTTTCAATCTTGTAGACCATGACATATTGCTGCAAAAACTTGACAAGTATGGTATTTGTGAAGCATCATTAAGCCTAATTATCATGTATCTCAGAAACTGGCAAGAGTATGTGGTTGTGAATCATACGACATCATCCCAAATGATAACAAAGGAATTCCTCAGGGTTCCACTTTAGGCCCTTTCCTTTTTCTGGTATACACGAATGATTCACCCGACTATACCTGAGAAGACTGCATTTTATACGAGGACAGTACTAATATCTTTCTCATAGCTGAAATGGAAAAAAAAGGTAATAATGTCCTGCTAAAGCTACTTAACTTGCTCCAAACAAATCACCTTCATGCAAACACAACAAAAAGTAACTATATGATCTTCAGTGCAAAAACACCCGACTAATGAACACTACATTATTGAACTTCAACAGCCTTCCTTTGGAACAAGTTAATCACACGAAATTTCTGGGTGTTCATCTCGACATTCAAATAAACTGGCATAAACATATACATGAAGCACTATCTATATATAAGAAAATACCAATATTGTATAAACTGTGTTTCATTTTTTCCTTTGCACACCCTTCCCACTCTTTATATCGGTTTCATACATTCGATAATCATGTACATACACCATTACCATTACAGACTCACAGACCATCCCACTCTTTATATCGGTTTCATACATTCGATAATCATGTACATACGCCTTTACCATTACAGACTCACAGACCCCACCACTTTATCACCAAATATTCTCTTTCTAAAACGGACAGATTCAATTACATTTGCATAATACCCATTACTTAATATTCTTCTTGTGAAAGCTACAATGATTACCACGTTCTCCTATTGCTGTAGAAAATCATGCAGAAACCTGTACTGTGTCTTTCAGCAAAAATTACCAAAACAACCCATAGCCGATACGATTAGTTACCTCCAGTACTTTAACCATTCCAAAATTTCGCACAAATTATGGATCATTTACACTCACACATACCGCATCACATCTTTGGAACAAACTACCCACAGGCCTAACAGAACGCCAGTCGTTTGCCTTTTACAAAACGAACTTACATTGTTTCATGCTATCTCCACTTGTTTGAATAAAATGGCCTATTCTGCCGCCGTTATACTATTAGTATAAGAGCACTAGAGCACACAAGAAATTAGTAACTAATTTCTTGTGTGCTCTAGTGTTTGTATACCTGAACGTGACATAAGGGCCCCCTTAACGACTTTTCTGTGAGTTATGGAGCCCTGCCATTTTAACAAAACTAAAAAACTGTGAAGGTGCTGACACCCCCTGTAAAGTTGTTTGCGCCGCGTAGTACACGTGTCTCGCTCAGAAGCCGTATTTCGGAGTCACAACTATTGAGCGGTAGGTGGCGTGTTCGCGAGTGTTGATTATCGCTATCATCATCATGGTTAGATTGGCAGCACCAGCGGTGACTCCTGGCGGCAGGAGAGGATCAGGCGAGTCTCTTCGGCTGGTGGCGTTTGGCGTGAACGCTTGTCTCTCGCAGTGGGACTCTGGTGCACGGCACCGCGGGCCGTCCGCCAGGGGGCCCTTGTGGTGAGTCAGGCGTTGACGACACCACCTTGTTTGTCATGTCGTTGTTGAGTGTTGTTTAATAGTGTAAAAATGTCTTAGCGTGTTGATCACGATTGATGTATACTAATTCAGCTGACGATATCATCGATCAAAAAGCAGTTAAATAAATATGTGTTGTTTGGTTTGTTTCGACCGCGTCTGCTGTGTTCGTTCACTCCAAGAGCGTGGTGGCACTCACCAACTTCAGACCCCACAGTATACAACTGAACGTAACATAAGAGCCCCTTAACAACTCTTATGCGAGTTAGGGGGCCCTGCTTTTATAACAAAACTGAGGCATACAACTGAACCTAACATAAGGGCCCCCTTAACAGCTCTTCTGTGAATTATGGGGCCCTGCTTTTATAATAAAAACTGAAGTATACAACTGAACGTAACATAAAAGCCCCTTAACAACACTTATGTGAGTTATAGGGCCCTGCCTTTATAACAAAACTGTGGTATACAACTGAACGTGACATAAGGACTCCTTAACAACTGCTCTGTGAGTTGTGAGGCCTTGCCTTCATAACAAAACTAAAGTATACAACTGAATGTGACATGAGCCCCTTAACAACACTTATGTGAGTTATAAGGCCCTGTCTTTATAACAAAACTGAAGTATACTACTGAACGTGACATAAGGACCCCCTTAACAGCCCTTCTGTGAGTTACGGGGCCCTGCCTTTATAACTAAAACTGGAGTATACATCATTTTATAAATAATAATAAATGAAAAAAATATGCAGCACATATAACATAGTTATTGAATAATAAGAATCAACTTCCTTTATAGCTTCAGGCTACCACCTCATACATTCACACTTAATAGCTAATAAATATAATGGCTCTTTTCATATCAACCTGTCAATGGACAAGAAGTACTGAATGGTGAAATCATCTCCATTCTGAAATTTCCCTCCTTCATATACTGTAAAAAGCTCAGCCACTCGGGGTTTAAGGGTAACAGTAAAGTCAACCTTTCAGAATGAGAACTTCTCAAGAATACAGCGGCAAAGGGAGCTGCTCAAAGGGAGCATGAATATGTGTGCTTGCTGATTAACCCTTGTCTTGGTCTGTCCATCTTTCCTCATGTTTCATAACCATGCCTCCACTCTTCTTTTTCTCAAGCTATTCTTTGTCACAGGAATCCTCACTGTGAAAGCTTCTCGTGTTTGTTGTAATAATCACACCCATAATGTCCTCAAATAAGGCAGACTGACATATCAATGATTCCCTTTCGCATGTGTGTTTTATGCATGTGTGTATATGTTCGTGCATGCACGCACGTGCATGTGTGCATACGCATGTATGCACATGCATGCACCCGTAAGTTTTAAAGTCATCTACCATAAGACCCCCTCATATTTTACTCATGGTAACGTTATCTTTAAATAAAGTTTCAATGATCACGAGGTACAACTGTCTCACATAGCCTACAAGAACCAAACAAGTGGACAACATAAGCCGAAGGAAAGAGAATTTGTAAACATGCACTTACGGTTACAAGCACAAGCAGAAATCGGAGAACCAAAGATTTAAGGCTGTGACTGTAATCCCCTTCCAGAAAACCACGAATCAACTCGATCAGCTCCTGTGGGACAAAAAAAAAGAAATGAGATCAAGAGCAAAAACTCCACAGCAGAGCACACCTAGAAATTGCATATGCTTTCTTTACATAGTAAATTATATCAGGCAGTGGGTTTACTGCAAGAAACCATGTCCCTCATTGACCCTTTGGTGCCACGTTTGCCCAGTAAGCAGGTATCCTGGATCATCTGCACTATTGAACACATAAAGAATGACACACACCAGTGTTTCTCAAAGCATATTCAGAAGCCTTGAAAAGCACCACTGAAAGGCATCAACTATTAAATATTAAAAGGATGAGCAAAACAACTTGAAGGGAATGTCTACAATCCATCAATGTAAAGCTACTTCACCAATATCAGTTCAGAGCCTACCTACAACAGAAGTCAGGATTGACACTGTACAAGACTTGGGACTTTGGCTGCCCCCTTCAGTAAAACTCATTTTCAGCACAGCCATTTTCAGCATAAAACATCACCTTTTCAGTCGTCACTGACAACAAGAAGTGTCCCTGAATACAAGAAGCACACAAGTACCTGAATTTCTCAGTGTTGGTGATAAATACACAATTTATCTTTAAAGAGCATGTGCTTGGGCATCTTAGTAATTCATGTCTTACTTTTTAGTGCACAGATGGCATAATATATTAATGGAATAAATAAGAATTGCAAAAAGAGAGAAAAGAATGGTGCAAAAAGTACAAGGAATCACAAGAGCACTGAAGAGCATGAGTGCCGGGGCTTCTCCCCATCATGCTTTTTTTTTTTCACTTCCTCAACTTAATTAACATAATTTAACTCTTTCAACATCGTGTCTTTATTAACCTATGTTGTGACTCTCCACATGTATATTCAAGTTTCTGCACATAATGTCAACAGTGAAAATTAAGTATACTATACCAGGGGTCCTTTGTAGTTAGGGTTGTTCGTTTCCAGGTAAAACCAGATTTCACTCGATTATTCCACCCCAAGCATGTTACAAGAGTACAGGGTTACACGCTATGTCTCCTCTAATTACAAAACCATGTCACCTTTATTTTTTATGGTGCCAAGAGGCCGGAGAGTGCAGCTAACTCCCCTGCCTAGAGATAACAGAGAGGTACCATTGTATTAACTTCAGTGAATCATTGTTAATTCTACTATCTGCATGCTGCACTGTCGATATTACACAACTCTCTACAAACAACCCAACGAGAATGCCTAAATCTGACTTTGACTTATTGACTGATAGTGAGCCGAACTTTTTTCTGTAATTATGACAGCAATCTGGTTATACATTGGAAAATCTGTAACAGTCCAAAACCCAAATTTCTGGTTGGTTTCATAAAAAAAAGTCACTCCCAGGTTATCAGCTTAAGAAATAGCACTCTATCTTTACACCCTAATTTAAGTAACACATACGACCCCAAAATATAGAAGCTATATTTAAAATGCATGAACGGTCAATAGGCCTGTAAATGCTAACCCTTTCACAACTGTTGACGAGTATTGTCATGGCATTTTCTCACAAAATGACCGATAAAGACCATTGGCCTCGAGGGCAACCCCTGTAGAGTGCGGCGCTGCTGTCGCTGCAATGTAGTAAACGACACCACGTGACATATGACTCTCCTGTGCCATTGTCAGTGCGGCGCATTTGCTTCCGATCCCGAGGCAGTTAATTTTCTAGCCTACAGGTTTGTTGATCGATACCGCAGTGCCAGACACATTTGAGCGAGCTTCATGTAAATGAACCCTTCCAAAACGTCACAGCAGCAATATACCAGACTGATAAAACTGAAATTGGCGAAACAATTCAGCGTTTATCCTCAGGTGTGTAGCTCACTCAGCGGTAACATTTCTTTTTTTTTCTTTTTTTTTTCTTTTGTTTGAGCGTCCATGCATCCACAAAGCTTATGCATCCAGAATTGGAGTTAAAATGTTCTGCAAGTACGACGGGGTACTTCGCGGGTCTTAACGCATAGGAATTTACCTTTATTTGCACCAGGCTGAAAAGAACAATTCCTGAGGTGTAGGATCAAAGCAACCATTCTGCTCAATCCTTGTATGGTTAAAGAAACGGCTCATTCAGTTTCTATGCACACTCTAAAACCAAGAAGCAGCCGGATGCATGTTCGATACAGCCAAGAATGGGGAGGCAACGCAGCATTCATTATTGCATATGCAGCAAACAAACACTTTTGATAAAAAAATTTTGTGTACTGCGTTGGGGCTAAAACCTTTGATGAGTACGACGGGGGACTTCCCGGAATGTACACATAGGAATTTGCCATGTTTATTCAAGCCACGCCGGTAGGCTTTTTCTAGCTGTCTGCAGCACAAGGGCAGCAAAAATGATTCTGTCCTAACACTGCTCTTTTGCATTGCATATTTAGACATCTCCCTTTCTATTATCAGTCATGATGCAATGAGTACTGGCACATGAATTGGTTGATGCCAGAGTCACTGAAAACAAAATATGGTAATTGTAATTATAAGTTGAGCAAGCGATGCATGTAGGTATTGCAACATTCTCGCATCATACCACATCAGTCAATACACGCTGCGTAGAAAAGCACAAGTAGTAAAGGCGAGGATTAAGGCAACAAAACTAAGTGTGGGTGGGGTTCAAAATATTTAAATATTTTTGTTATAACTAATCGTCCGGTAATAAGTGCGGTGAAGGTAGCAGGCCTCACAAACCACGGTTGTTGTGAACAGTATTGTTCTAGCGACAAAACAGCGCATGGATACCATTACGAAAGGTCATGCGAACTTGAAGGGACCCAAAAGGCAAGCATCAAGTCGACGATTACTGAAATAGCAGTCCGGAAACCTCATAGTGCTACTGTTGTGCATAGGAAATGCGCATTTTTAATTGAAATGACATTTTAGTGGTCCAAACAGCGTTAGCACACTTCATATCACCCGCCTGAAAACGACCTCATGACGTATCAATGTCCTTGCCTAACATCGCCCGCCTTTACTGTGCGGCCGCTGACACTAGCAGCAGCAGAGTGAAAGTAGCAGAAGCCACAGCAGCAACAACGGCCCATTGAAAAATTTTCTGCTTGCTTGGTTCAACTGAACCCCGCTAGATGGTGCTACTTACTAAGCCCAACCACGCAAAATCAGAACTTTTGAATCACTCATGTTATTCCCCATAGTAATGCCAGGCAGTTCTTTTTTTTTTTTTCGTGAATCAAACAGAAATAAATAAGCAGCATTTCATTACATGTTGTAATGCACAAAAGGTTTTTTTTATTACTGAAGTTGGCTTCATTACCAGTGACACTTTTACATCACTGAGATCATTTTCCAAATGCCACACTCGAAGCACATGTGGTGTCATAGTAGTAGGGCACTGTTGCAGATAATATTGCTGTTTTAGACATTCCCCCACATTATCTTTCCCTCTGACGAAAATTGTTATTTCCCTTTAGTGTCCCTTTAATAAGCAATGTCAAAGCATCATTCGCCTTCGGCCACTTGATACTACTCTGAAAAAGAGCAAAGTGTTGCCGTGACTCGTGCGTGGCAGTCCATGCAGATAGAAAGGTTACCTCCCATCTGCACACTTCCTGCACAAAAGCAAGAGTCAGGTGCATACTATTGCACTTGCCTCAGTAAAAGTATATGTATGCAAACTGTGAGAATGCTTCGATTTACAGATTACTAGATGAATCACATAACTTACCTTTTTTACCAAAGCACCTCTTCACGTCGGGCGCCAATGGCCCCATGCGAACGCACTCGGTCGAAAGTGAACGACGTGGCGATGGCCGCACAATAGCTCGATAAAATTCTTTGTTGCCAAACACAACCAATGCATGCAAAGTGAGTTCCTGCTATTTTTTTTTCCTCAGCAATACTGGAGCAGCAGAACGCAAAACTCTAGTTCCATCTGAATCTTTAAAACTTGTCGTTCATAATATAATAACAAAAAACAGATCTTTTTCTAAAACTTACCTGCATTGTTGTTTCAGCCATGTCAAATCCAATGAGGAGATTGATGATATCAAAGCCATAGTCCCCATGAGACTTTCTGTACACGCCTTGAATGAGAGCGCACAGTGTCTGCGAAAGGAGGCAATCAATGTTGACGTGATGAATCTAACTTAAAAAAAGTACAGCATTTAGCAACTGTGTAAATTATGTGCTCAAAGCACGGCTCAGTAGTGCACAGCAACCTTTTATAGTAAAGCAATAAGATAACAAAATTTATTTTAACATTCACACCCAATAACCTGAAGCCGTTCTTGGTGCTTCTATTCCTACACAGTGAAGCACCATTACATAAAAACGCAACCCAATCAGTACTTCCTTATCTTTGTACTTCATTGTACCTGAGAGAAGAGTACGTGGATTTTTTTTTTTTTCCTCATGATAATTGCTCTAAAAGCAGTTACCCTTTATAACAAACTAAAGCTCCCCACCAGGGTGCATTTGCTGTCAGGTTTTTGCAAAGTACTGGGTCTTGCAGGTCCCTCTGCTCAATAGAGCCCTTGACTATGCAAGTACACTAAATCAGACACTGTGTTAATGTGTAGCAATACTAAAAAATTGTAACAAATTTTTCACATGTGTAACAAATTTTCACAGTCTTGATCACATTTTCAGAGTCTGCTATAGTGCACAATGGTCCTTGCATACAAGAAGTAAAATATTGTTTTTTAGCTTGTTCAACCAGTTGAGAAAATGTTTACAATAGAAAGAAAGTTATGATGAACAATTTTAACCAGCAAAGAACTAGGTAAGCCTAAGTGATGTAAAGCTAGCGATGGAGCACTAGCAAAAGCATCTAGGACTACAGTTATGACACCAACCCTTGATAAAGCATGATTAAACCATGACAGTGTACAGCAAACACTCATAAGAATGTGGTACAGATTTGAAACTCGCAACAGAAAAGCGTCTAAACTAATTTGCATTAAAGCCATTTCACATTGCCAACATTCTATATTGCTTCTTGCTGTCACATCTATGTTATTTTAGTAATACAGAGGAGTAAAGAATAACCTAAAGTATGAAGAGGTCTCAAAACTGAAATCAACTTTAGCAGTATTTATCTTTTTATACTTCATAAACCCTCAACTATTGTGTTTTCTAATAATGTACCAGTGCCACACCATAGTTTTTGGTGAAACCTTTAGAGTCTTCTTATCAGATTCAAACTTGGTGAAATTGCTTCAAACAGCAGTTTCAGCAAATTATTGTCTAGCCTGCACTAACAATTGAAAACAGGAATTGCATACGCTAAATAATGCCAAAACAAGGAATCAACAACTACTAACAATCAATTTCATTTTAAAGCCTCACCTGCAAGGCATTCACTACTCGTATACGATGGTCACTTCGCAAGGCTTGTACACAGTGATAAAACAGGCTGTTTATTGTATCCTGCAAGCAAAAACAATTACAAAAGCATCCAGAAATTGATGGCACTGTTGCCTTAGAGATTTACTGCTTTCGTGTACCTTCAGTCTCACGAGATCTTCCCCTGGCAGGCTGTCAAACTGTTGCTGTATAAAGTTGACATTGACCTAGAAACAAACAGCTGGTTACTCGACTGTAGCAGCAACCGGCGACCTTCTTTTACCTTTAACAAGAACAGTTCGTCCCAAAAGTTTTGATTATTCACTGACGGATCGACGCCCTGCATAAAAGAATGCAAATGATGGTTTATAAAAAGGCAAGACATTTGACAATTTTTTGGTTTACACAATTAGTGACCGAAGAAAACACCTCATAGTAGCACTTGCCTTGAAAAATCCTTCGTAGATCTGAACAAACTTTTCTTTCAGCGGCTGTCTAGATGCTTGTTTGGCGATCATGATGTCTCATATAGAAAACCAGACCATCGAGGAACTACGCAGGAAACATGTGAATGAAAACGCCCCTTTCTATAACCGAGTTTGCTTTCACACATTACGAAACAGTGCACGCATGGGGTTACCAAATTATCGTTTACGCAGTGCACATAGCTTTCGCTGTCAAGCAAAAATGTTTTCCAACTAGAGATTTATAAGAAGCAAATGCCCCATGAAAGTGAGCGCTGGAGGATGTGGCTGCAATGCGCGCCAATTTCGTATGTTTATATGGTGTAACACATTTCGTGAGCACTCTTACTTTTCCAATCAGGCTCGGCAGGTTCACAGCTTAAATCGCCGAAACGTCGACACAGAAAGCGGCGTTGATATTTTGTGAAGAATAATTTTCGCATGCCACCCATAGATGCATACGCACGACTGGCTTTAGTGACAGTGAGTATGCTTGTACGTACGTACTCCTCAGCTTTCTGGTCGCATTTTCTTCAACTGCCGGCGGCGTTTTCTCTCAAGCTACAGCGCCGAAGAGCTTCTCTTTTTCTTTCTTCGAAACCGTTTCACGAGAGATAGGTACCGAATCCCCGCAAGAGAAACATGAGCAAAACCCGAGCAAAACCGGCCATAAACAGCCAATGTTGCCAACCGAGACACAGAACACGCCGAGACTGCCGAGACTTGCAACATGGCTAAATTGTTCGCGTTTGGTATCGTTGCAGATTCTTTTACCTCCCCAGCCACAGCGTATAACTCTTCCAAGTGAGAGCCATGGCGACAGCCAAACTGTACCGCCCATCATAATGTCTGTGTCATTATGATAGGTGATACTGTTAGTGATAATGCAGCTGGAAAACCCAGCAATCGACGAAATGCCCCAGCCTGAGCCTCAAGTTTCCCCAGGTGGTCGAAACTTCCGGAGCCCTTCACTACGGCGTCTCTCGTAATCATACGGTGGTTTTGGAACGCTAAACCCCACAAATCAATCAGTCTTGAGCATCAAGTTTCATGCTTTAATTCACAATCGAACCTCGTTGTGAGGAAGCAGCATGGAGACTAAATTAGCTTGTCATATCCGATATTCGTTGTAGCAGCAGATATAGAAATCGGCAATAGCAGAACAGAAATTATCCTTGCCAACTGTAAACAAAAGATGCCTCCTTTTTCTCCTTGCGTCACCTTGAACATTGTGATGAAAGCGAAATTAAAACAAAACAAGAAAATTTGATGAAAAGGTGTGCATTACATTCATTTGAGGATGGATGTGACCACATTTTTAACAATGTTTTTGTGATGACCACCATATTAATACAAAAAAATGGAAGACCCTTAAACATCACCTTTACTTTAACCCCTTACTACATATTTTTTATTGTAAGATATGTTAATCGAGAAGTTTAAGATGTGGATCAGTAGAATGTAATCGATGAAGTTTAAAGTGGCGTGTGCCAGGGAAGCTTTTTCATATGGCTGCATTCTGTGAAATTGGTAGCATATGCTTTAGACCACGAGCAATTATGCGCGGGAAATGTTTTCGAACTTGCTGAGCACCCAGTTAATGGAATATGCGCCGTAACGTGTGCGCCTTATGGGTGGCTGGCTAACCATAAGGAACATATGATAACCACATAGTTCTGATGCCCGATGGTAATGTACGCTTTTACCACGCAATATTACTGTAATATATATTACATGTTGTATTGTGACGCTGACCTGTATACGGGACGCACGCTTTTGTGAATCATGAATGTTGTTTTCACTGCACTGTCAAGCAGGGAAGTTTAGTTTCATCATATTTCTAAGCAGACATGTGACTGCTTGTATTTTAGAACATTTCTGCTTGCTACGCGAACAGCCTGGATTCGATACGCACTTGGACGCGGAAACATTTATTATTTATTTTATTGGCAGCTTTACCGATGTTTTGGTCACGCACAGGATTATCATTTTTCGCTCACAACCAACGGCGTTGATGCCGAAATTTCAGCTAAACAAGCTCTTTAACGCTATCGCGTTAAAATGTGGATGATTATTGTCTTTGAATAATTATTTTGTTTGTTTGTGTGCGTGCGTGTGCTACCTTTTCAATTTCGAGCAAACTAAATATTTCTTCATTGCGGCCGCGATGTCTAAATACAAATAAATGAAACATGACAAGCGTGGCTAACCAAAATTTTATTTAGTTTGCTATAGCCAATATTTCGCTATATCAGTGTTCGTTACGACGAAGCTCAATTGTACTTACATCAAGCTCTGCAATATTCAGACAGACAAAACTGTGACATTTCACTTACAGCAGCGAAACAGATGTCGTAGCCAGGGGTAGCACGCTGATGGCATGTATACTCTATAAAGTTCTATCTGCCATATATGATACCTGGTGTAAAGGCCGCACCACAACACTTTTCCAGCAGGATCCCCCCTCGCGACCATGCCACCTTGCCAAGGAAGTCAAGGCCGTTAGGCTGCCTAGAGTTTGCACCTTCGAAACCCCTGAACGGAGCAGTAACTTAGGGCAAATGGCGCTGACGTTGCTACGTTACCAGATGTCACGTTTTTTTTTTTTTTTTTAAACCTCCTCAATCCCAAGAATGCAGCAATAAAAAAAAAACTTTTGAAAAATTGTGTTATTTGACTCCCTGCCCTTAAACTTAAGTGCAAAAAAAATTATGAATCCGAAAAATTGAACGGTTTTCTCAAAATGTGATGGTACCCATTTGCGTACTCCTGATCTTTTGAAGTCTCTAAGATTGAGTGCAACAAAAATATTATACCGAAATTGCTTTCAATATGATCTACAAGACGTCCACAGTTAAAAACAGTCTACTATAGACGTTGTCGTTCACGCTACAACTAAGAAAAAAAAAGCTTTCACTTATCACGAGCACGCAGGTGAACGCTCGTGCTGTACTCAGTCATTCTCGTTCGCTTGTTTTGCGAATATGACTAAACACACGGCGCCACTTCTCAGAGCTTCGTGAAAGTAACTCATTCTTACTGTGCCAAGACGATTTTGAACACGCGGATACCGAAATGTGATGATCTGTAGCCTTTAAAGCAGCAGTACCCAATTGGATACCCAGGGACCAAGGAGGTTAAGGAACGTCATATAACCGGTACGTTCACGTCACGAGGAAATGTAAAGCTTCTTAGTTATTTTTATTTTGTAAGGCCTAAATTAGAATACGCCAGCACAGTATGGGATCCTTACACTAAGTTTCATATTGATGAAAATGAGTGGGTTAAAGGGAAAGCAGTTCGTTTTATATACAACAAATACTTACCATCTGATTCGCCCTTTGCACTAATGACTGCAAATGGCATTCAGCCACTTGCTTCGCGCAGACTCAAACAACGGCTTTATTTCCTTTTCTTGTTACTTTACAATAAACTCGCCATTGATCCATCACCGTATCTATCTTTCCTATCAACTATAGGCAGATCCGACATCACCATCCCAATTCGCTTACCCCATATTTCGCGAGAACTGATGTCCTTATGTAATCTTTCTTTCCACGGGCAGTGTCTGATTGGAACAAATTATGTGATCCCCATTCATTGTGAATTAAGTAGAGTGAATTGCATCATGTATGGTGCATGTTATTTCAGTTTTATTATGTGATGTGCCCTTCCTGCTTGGACCATTTATAGTTAGCAGTATGTGCTAAATAAATTAAAATAAATAAATAAATGTATTATATATCAGGAGCGTGAACCATTCGGCTGTTCTTTTCTGCCAGGCGTCGGTTCATTTCGTTGACTATTGATACTTGACAGAATTATATTGTTTCATCGCACGTTGGAAGCTTGGTATCTGCGGGGTTGACAAAAAAAAAAAAGCAATGATAACATAATCTGGGGAACCCTTCAGAGAAGATGCATGTACGTTCTATGACATTTTGTGAATTCAATCAGCCATAAATTTTGCTTGGGTGGTAGGGGCGAGAGTTCAATCCCCGGCCATTTATGAGTACATGTTTGTGCGTTTGTTTATATAACCATAAGAAATTGGAAAATTTCAAAGGCATTTAACACCCCCCCCCCCCCCCCCATGGTGGCGCTCATGCTATCAATGGGTACTTTCCCACGAGGCATTATAGTGTTCTATGAACCTTCCATTTTCAATCAAACTCACTGTGTGACATCTTTTGCCGGAATAATTGGCGGAATTTCCCAAGTTTTTATTGATATGCAGCAACTGGACACCAGTGGTTTATAGGAGACTCTCTTAACTGTGAACGCCTTGAAGATCACATTGAAAGCCATTTCAGCCTGATATTTTCGTTGCACTTAAGTATTTCCTCGTTGTTGCCGCAATGTCTAAATACAAATACAAATCAATGAAGCATGATAAGAGTGGCTAACCAAAGTTTAATTTAGTTCACTATAGCCGATATTTCACTATATTGAGGAATTCAAAAGTTCCGCCATGACGCATGCAATGACGAAGCACTAAATAAAGGAGAATCAAAAGAAACGGTACACACCTTCTGAGACTGTCGCTTCACCTCAGTGCCTAGAAAAGAAAGCGCCGTGTGTCGGCGTTATCTGGACGGTGACGGCTGGCAATGAATTAGCAGTTTTTCTAAAAGTACCGTGCCACACAGCTCGCAGCGTTCCGCACGAAATGTCTGGCCGTGATGGACGCCTCCGAAAGAAAACAGACAGGGACAAGATTTATTGGTTGATTTGTGGTGTTTAACGTCCCAAAACCACCATATGATTACGAGAGACGCCGTAGTGGAGGGCTCCGGAAATTTCGACCACCTGGAGTTATTTAACGTGCACCCAAATCTGAGCACACGGGCCTACAACATTCCCGCCTCCATCTGAAATGCAGCCGCTGCAGCCGGGATTCGATCCTGCGACCTGCGGGTCAGCAGCCGAGTACCTTAGCCACTAGACCACCGCGGCGGGGCACAGGGACAAGAAAGGATGCATTCTTCTCTGCATTTTTGCTGTCCCTGTCTCTTGTCTCGCTTGCTTCTGATTTCTTTGGGCGCTGCTAGTATTCCCACCAAGACTACGTACCAACACGCCCAACAAACCACTCATAGTGACAGACGCACCCACGACGTATCAAAAAGAGAATCGTGTTTTTTATTTGTTTGTTTTTAGTTTCTGTGCTGCCGTATTGGTGGGATATGCGGAAACAATGCCGCTTTCAGAGTTTCTTGTTGACCGAGTGTGACGCATTATGTTTGGATATGAAAAGGATATGATTGCATAATAAACCTTTTTTTGTGTGTGTGTGCATTACATACATTGGTACTGTTCGTTCGCTCCTTCCGTTACGTCTAAGTAAAGCTTACGCCCTCAAAGGTAAGTTCAAGGAAATATTATCAAAGACTGCTCACACACGAAGGTCGCTTGAACAGGCTATCAGTGACAACGATGTATGTTAGGCGATGGTAGGGTGGTACCGTAAAAAAAAATTCAAAGAAAAAGTGGCTGCTACGTGCAAACGTGATACGAGACCGGAGGCAGCATTCAACGCAGTGCGGGATTTTTCGTTTTCTTTTCAGGCTTACAATAAACATGGCGGAGGAGGAAGAGGTGAATGTTGATGGTTAGCCCAAAAATAAATTAAAAAAATAATGCTGGCGTT